ATGTTGTCCAGCTTGTGATATAAGCTGACAATTTGGACACTAATATTTTTATGCTTTTCTGATAAACATCCTTAGCCAAACCTTGTCACTGGTCCCAGGGGTATATTGAGGATAATTGTGTATCTTGACCATTGTAGGCAGTGAATTGTATTACTTTTCTCATATTGACATTATAGTCAACTCGGTGTTTGTTGAATCAATGAAAATGAGTTACTCTGTACAAGGACTTGACATGTAGTTGCATCACTCCTGCCGACTAATATAAATCTCTTGCATGCTCTTAAGTTGTTAACCTTTTAGAGAACCTTGGAATTAACTTCTTAACAATTTTGTATCTTGATTAACAATTTACTAATTATCCATAAACTACCACATAGCATATTGATGCTGTTGCTAGAATATGGAATTGGCTGTGAAGATTGTGATGGTTCTTAGGGTAAAGCCTATAAAGAGCAGTAAGTTTTTGTTTGGGTCTTAGTGGAATAATGGAGCTCTTCACCTGTGTGTAGAGTACAGGTTGAGACATGAGCTACTCTACTGTAAGGCTGGAGGAAGATGTTTAAAAAGAGTTGTATATACACGACAGTAAACCCTTACTTTATCTGATTCTTTTTCTGTAAATTCAGCTTAACATATCATATACTTTAAGGCCAAATTTTTCAGACCTTACCTTCACCGTGGCTGGGAGGGAGGGAAGTTAAGTGCCCTTTCGTAATTTTGTTCGGAGTAAAGGAGGTGCCGGACCACCAGTTCCCGGAAAATCGGTGGTGTACCTGTACTAAAAATAAATATAGATTAAAAAATAAAAAGGTCATGCTATAGCACTTCGTTTTTTTTTTTGTCAAAATTTTATCTACAGAATTTCACATAGTACAGGTAGTCCCTGACTTACGACCGACTCGACTTACGTCCACCCGCACTTATGACCGCCTCAGTCATACCAAAATGTGGTCAAATTATGTATTTTTGAGTCCCAAAGTCAGTACACAGTCAAAATTTTCATCTGTAATTCACTTTAAAATGGCTGGCAAGCTTAAAAGTGAGTGTATTGTGGTGCTGAGAAGAAAAAGAGACCCAAATTTTCGATTTTCTATGTGTTATTTAAGCATTTCCGACTTATGACCATTTCGACTTACGACCTGGATGTCGGTCCCTAACCCCGTCGTAAGTCGGGGAGTACCTGTATTTAGTTAAGAGGACACCTGGTTCATTAAGTTAAAAGTCCAGGTCACAGGAAGATTAAAATTCAAATTCTTGTTTAAAGCCTAATTCCTGTATTGGTACAGTTGTTACGAAAATTTCTTGAAATTGTATTATCACAAGGTGAAATGTGGAGCATGAGATAAGTGTGACACAAACGTTAAGGTCAAAATTGTATTGATAAAGATACGTACAGTAGTTTGATGAAACTTTACATGACTGTGTACCGTCACTAGACAGTATGTAGAATACAAAAATTTAAAGGTTACAGTCACTGCTATAGTTCAAGGCTCAGAACTTTATATCCAAACAAGGAATTTCATGAAATTCCATATGAATGTTTATTACCGGTAAATAAAGTGCATTATCAGTACTGTTCAGAATGTCAGAGTTCATGGTCTCAACGAAAGTTCCCCCCCTCCCAAAAATTTTTTTGGTATAATATAAAGAGAATACAGGCAAAGCTCTTATAATGGCCAAGATATGTTCCTGCAGAGTGGCCATTGTGTGAAAATATGTTATACGAGGCTCCATTGTGTGAAAATATGTTATACGAGGCTCCATTATGGCAGGTTTGCCTTACGTGTCCAGTACTGTATTAATACTGTACAGTCCTTATTCTTTATGTAGCTTTGTACTTACTGAATTCTATATGACTTCAGAAACCTCTGTAATATCCTGCATTACCTGCACGTTAAATCTATTAGCTTTTTATTTTGAAAATAGGAAAAGGAAACAATAACTCAGATCAATAAGTCGTTTGGGAACAATATTAACATGAGCAGTTGATGCCATTGGCCATTTTGTTTCTTTATTTTCTTACATTAGGTCACAATGAAAACTGAACCCCATATGTAATGCAGGAAGGGCCACTAGATTATGACTGTAATGGTTATTAATTTTCTAAGACACTGATAATGTGTATATTTTCTTCCCTTTTTTGTTTTTTTCTTTTGAAGTTGTCTACATTGTTCAGATCACAGTGACTATTGCCCTGTTAAGTTTATTCACTTGGAGAATATTTTATATCCTCTCCCACCATGTGCTAAGAAATATTATTCCTGTTCACTCCAATACAACAGGTATCAAAATTACATGTGATATGTTCTGTACTGTGGTGCGATATTCTGGATTGCACAACGTCATCATAGTACTGACGGTATATATTTTTCAATTCGGTAATTAATTTGAACAGTGTATCTAGCTTATGCCTGCCTTTATAGCATTGGGATCTCATACTGTACCAGAATGCTCACACTGGTGTTTAAAGTCATGCAGTTGTTGCCATCGTTGTTGTGGCAGCTGTTTCAGTTTGTCGCCTCCCTTTTTTAAGGGATTTATATAAAATTTGACGTACTATAAGCAGTCTTTTGTAATTGTGTAAAAACTCCCTGGAGCTTTTTTTTATTTTTTTTTTATTTTATTTTTGTGTGTGTGTGTGTGTGTGTGTGTGAAGAAGAGCCAATGCCACACTGGCTCTTCCTTTTATTTTTGTTCCTCTGCCACATTAGGGTACAGCGGTTTTGTTTACTTCCACCATGACCTCCCTCTTGTTTTCCTCTCACTCCTCCATCTCCCTCATGCTTTGTCTCTCTCACCTCTATCCTCCTCTTTTCACCACCTCCCTCCTTTATCCTTCCTGTTCTTTCACTGTCACTGATACCACATTCTTCCTCCTCATGATTTTACTTCATGGTGATGGCCAGTACTATTTGTCAATTTGTGAGTTATTGGTACAGTATGCATTGACGTCACTGGTTGGATCTCCCTAAACTGTGATGGTTATGTTGTATGGCACCACATTATGAATGAACACAGTTGTAACATACATGGTGTAGAGCAGCCCTGGGTTATTTTTATTGAAGTTTCTGTGACTCTTTGAAGATAACCAAGTTGACGAGAAGAATTTATTTCAAGTTCCGCTGCGGAATATTTTATTGTAAGAGAATTTGAGTAACCTACATTTTAATGCCAGTTGCAGTTATGTGGGTTTGTGTCCCACTCTTCAAGAATACTGTACTGCTATATTTTATTGATATGGGTATAGTTGTATTGAGCTGCAAGTAGACTTTAAAAATTAATCTTGGCAACACTGCCTAGCTTTAATGAAATTCACATTCTGCTCTCTTAAGAGAGAGATTTACAGTGCTGCTACCCATTTATTTAGGTGTACCCTGTGTTAAGACAGGTTTTTTTTTTGTGAATGTAACTCATTTGCAGTCTGGTGATAGATATGACAGCTGATAATTGTTTAATACTGTACATGAATTTAATTTCACTGACTTGTGGAACAGTTGGTTAGAATTTGGCAGACAGCCAATTTTAGAGAATATGTTTGGGGCATCAAATAATAACCGACTAAAATATAATATAATATAGTATTGTGTTGATAAGTATTTAACTTGACTTATTACTTCTCAAGTACTCAAATTTATTAATTTATTAACAAGGAAATTTACTGATTGTTAATGTTTTGATGGGTGAGAACCTGATTAGTTTCTTGAAAGGGTTACTGTATTATATTAATGTCCAGTAGCATTAGTAACTATAAAAATTATTTATTGGTCAGTTTGTGCTGATGATGAACTTCATACTGTAATTATACAGTGCACATTTTCATTCATCCTAACGGTTTTAACATTACTTTTGAGACGATAAAGTTTTTCCTCTTGATGTTTGCATGTTTTTGTATGGAATAGACAATACAGAACGCAGATTCTGAGTCCTCTACTTCGTTATGTCATATATTTTAAAATCCCTTAATAAAGTTTTTGTTTTCTCCTTATCATTTAAATATTTCTTCTTTTCCTGAGCTTTTTAAGACCATCACTAAACTTTCTCCTCCTGTTGCATTATAATAATTTCCTTAAGTTTGTCTGCCAGTCAAGTTTGTTTCTGGTGAATATAATTGTAGCTGTTTTGTTTTTTATAGAGTTAAGTCTTGTCACCATACAGTGGTTCTCTGCTGCTTGTATTTGTGCACCTCAAAGAAAATAGTTTGGGATATATATATATATATATATATATATATATATATATATATATATATATATATATATATATATATATATATATATATATATATATATATATATATATATATATATATATATATATATATAAGTAACTATTGAATTTAAAAGTTTATTTAATGAGATTGAAAGTTTATATGCAATGTATAGACATTATTTGCTATAAGTAATGTCATGAATGCACTACTCCACTAGTGTTGAGAACCACTTGTGGTATTGATGCTTTTATGTAGTTTGTAGGCAGTTTGTTTTGAGCATTTTTGAATATTGCTTAAAGTAGCTGATATTATTTTTATATCAATGTCTGGTCCAGAGTTTGTTCTTGTACTACAGTAAGATTTGACTAGAGTATAATTGTTCTGGAATAATGTCTGATCCACTGAGATTAGTCTGTTGAATATAACTTTTGTTGCTTAAAGTATTAGGAAATTACACAAATTTTTAAGAACATTTTTATAACTTTTAATAAAATCTTGGACTAGATTTCTAATGGGTAAACATGTAAATTTAAAGTCCTGAAGATTGTGAAGAGGATGTTCTTTCATTTTGCTTTTGAAGATAACTGAGTGGACTGCAGGTACACTCTTAGTACATTTTGTGATTATTTTGTATTTTAAGTGTATAGCTTATGATAGCAAGAAACTGTACAGTACTTAAGAAAATTTGTGGTTAATTGAGCCACTTTTTCAACAACTTAAATTAGAATTTGAGTGGTAGTACTAATTAAACACAACTTCATTCTCTAATTGTGTGATATGGTTGTAACAGATGAATCAGATATGGACCGGTCATTTAAGCTGCCAATGTCCACTTTTGTGGGTGGGAACGAAAAGACTCTCCCCCTGAAGGAAATCATCAAGAGACTGGAGGATGCCTACTGCCGCTCCATAGGTAAGTACTGTAGTGCACCACATATAATAATACAGATAATTTTTTAAGGCTGGATCTTGATGTGTGTGAATATATTTAATTGGTGATGAGAGGAGAATTGATTTTTTTACTTATTTTTTATTACTGCTCAAGACTGAAACCAATTCACACTTACAGTAGACGATTCAATATTTTAATCAAATGGGTGATTGGTCAAATGGACCTCAGTCCAAATAGGTTCCTTGTAATCTAAACCTTGTATGAGGATTGGGGATTATCAAGAACGAGACCCATTTGGTGGCGTCCTTGTGTTGTTTGGCTTATGTGACATTTTCCCAAGATGAATTTTTTTATGATGAAGATAAAGAGTGTCACATACATACAAACCTTAGGTCAGTATAAGTGAACTTTTGGTGGTGATAGGTAATCTCTGTATGTGAATCTGGTTCTTGTGAAGCTGGTATAAATGAGGGCAACTTGTGTAGTAAAAATATCATAAGAAATATCTATACTGTACAGTAAAGTGAAAATTTGACTTTATATTACAAGCATGATGATGATGATATCTACAGTCGATTTTATTTGGAGTCTAATGAGGCACTCCGGGCAAGAAGTAGACGAGCATAAAACAAAGATAAAAGTTGACCCCCTCTTATTTATTAACCTTGGGATCCGGGGCTATGCTGGTTAATGGATAATTCTGTTAAATTGAAGGTTGATATATAATTAAAGGTGCATTAGCTAAACTTCACTTAGTCTAATGCTCCCATGATGTTATGGATTTCTTAATACAGTTTGTATACAAATTTAACACACACAGTGAATAAATTTGATAAATAAACTAGTAACATTACAATAATATATAATAAATTTATAATAAATGAAAATACTGTGTGTTGAATTCATACCTCTTTTTAGCTTTGTGATCATACCTGTATTAGAATTGTAGCGTAGCACACACAACTTGCCACCCCCTCGTAAATTTGTTTTCTATCACATTAAAATTTCCCAGGCTTCATCTTTTGAGCTGACCATTGAAAAATAAGGTTGTGTGTTCCACATGGTGTTGGTAGGAAATGCACATATCTGTAGTGGAGTTGTAAAACTTTGATGCTATTTTACTAAAAATTATGTTTTGGTGAGTTCGTTAGTGCTACACTAGATGCCTCATGCATCTGCCAGTAAAGTGTAAGAGCTTCATTTCTGTTTCAGCCCAAATATACAAGCTGCCACTGAAATACAGTCTTCTATTTTGTTTTGTTTTATTGTTATTTTATGATTGTTATTTTGTTTTTGTTGGTAATTATTGTTTGACTGTCAGGAAGTAATGGTAGAATAGGGACTGTCGTGAACCGGACACTATTGCCATTCATTACTGGTCGATGGAATGTCAGATAAGAGGGGGTCAACCTGTAAAATAAACACATCTTAAACTGCTTTTTTGCTTGTCTTGTTCTTGACAGCAATATCTTGGTTCTTTACAGTACAGAATTTTATTTTGAAGATGTTAGGCCCAAAAGTAGAGATGCAGTGTACTGTACAGCTAATGTTGTATTTTATCATAGTGTTTTTCATCTTGACAAGAAAAGATGATGCAGAATCTGATTCTTGAAAACAAAAACTACTAATATATGTTTATTATGTTGAAAACCCATCATTGTTTATTTTATTTTCTATCATTCACTTGGATGTGTTATAGACATAGGTTCTCTCCTGTGGCTTAGCTTGGTTGATTGGGCATTATTTTTTTTCTTTTGGGGGGTTGACCCTTCACAAATTATGGGGAAGCATAAAGGGTTGTTAGCTTTATCAGACATTTACCGTAACAGGAATGCCTTAAGTACAGTACACAGAATTTGATTTATTTATTTATTGTTTAGGTACCAAAGAAAGATACAGTAAATAACTTTAATAATTAAGCAGCTTATGATGCTTATCTGTGTCTTGATTTTTTTGGTTAGGTGTTGAGTTTATGTTCATCAACTCGTTGGAACAGTGCAATTGGATCCGTCAGAAGTTTGAGTCTCCAGGAATCATGGCCATGAATCAGCAAGACAAGAGACTTCTGTTGGCAAGATTAACTAGATCTCATGGGTAAGATTAAGCACCACTTCCTCATAAAATAAACAAGATTTCTTTGGTAAGATTAACTAGATCGTATGAGCAAGATTAATTAGATCTGGTTAATTCCTGAAGATATCATGGTTAAGGTTAACTAGATCTCAAGGTCAAGATTAACTTAATCTCAGTTAAAATTGAACCAACCAGAGTTGGAATTCATGTCCGTCTTTATGAGTGATTGTATGACATTTGTATTTGTTCTAAGCTTTTATTGTTAGTTCTTTTATTGAAGCTGCTAAGATTTAATATTTTGGGTTATCTGTTGTATATTTAGAGTAAGGGAACCACTGAGTTTTCTTCTGTGTATTAGGTAAGTGTGCAGCCAGTCAGCCAGACAACTTGAAGAGGATCAGAAAAGATAGCAACTTTTCAGAATTATCATTTTCAAGTCATGACTCCTGGCAGGCTGTTACAAAATCTGCAAATTATGGATTGTTAAATAGTTTGTGACCTTCAGTATTAGACCATTCATTACCCCCATGAACTGGCCTGGAACCTAGCTATTTATAATACTGCACTGAGGGTTAACTATATTCCTTTGGATATCACTGATGTTTAATTTCACTTTTATTTCTTGACCATTGTGTTTGGTAATATTCCTCTGTAGTCATTATGGTGGGAATTAGCCAGTGTATTGTAGACTAATAAGTATTCATCTAATTGACAGGTTTGAAGCCTTCTTGGCTCGGAAGTTCTCTTCAGAAAAACGTTTTGGTCTAGAAGGCTGTGAAATTTTGATTCCTGCCATGAAACAGGTTAGTGGGTTTACATTTATCAATTGAATTTCAATCATATATTATTTTGGCTTTTGCCTGCTGGGGATGTGTTATAGGTAATATATGAGGAGTTTTCGTTCATACATGTAAGAGTTTATACCGGTACTTGTGTGTATTGGATAGTGTTTTGCGTGTAGTTTATCAGGTATTGGCATTAGCTTCATTGGGGGTATATCTAGCTCCTGTAGAGGGATCCTGGTTTGAGTGGCAGGATGACACAGGATGGAGAGCATTGACTTAACAGGCTGCACTGTCCAGTGTCCTTGCAGACCACCAGCACTCCTCTAAGTATATACTGTACATGCTTTCTTTCTCCATCACATCATCTTTCAGCTTTTATCACAATATACATTTTTTCCAACACTTTCACATAAATATCTTAAATCCACTAACCCATATTCTCTTATAAGTAATGAAAAGGCCATGGAATTTATGATAGTATTTCATTTATGTAAAATACCTAAGCCAAAGACTGTAGGCTAGTGACCCAATAGGGGTTACCATAGGTTAACAGGAGGAGGATCTGGGTGTACAGGTCAGAAACTACGCAAGTAAGTAGGTGCCCGAGACAAAATAAAATAAACCCCCTTTCATTAACTACATCTTAAATAGAGGGAAATGGTCTTAAACTAATCATAATCACATGTTGGCCCCTGACGTCATTGTTCAGAATATTATGATTTATCAGTCTTCACACTTCCCTGGTCTAAGAATTATATTTTGTGCAGCTTGTCTACAAGTAGTGAGTTATTTATTTTTTACAGGTGATTGATCGTTCCACTTCATTGGGAGTTGAGAGTTTTGTGATGGGGATGCCACACAGAGGGCGTCTTAATGTTTTATCTAATGTTTGCCGCAAGCCACTTGAACACATCTTTACTCAGTTTGCTGGTTTAGACACTGGTGATGAGGTAAGACTTTTTCTTTAGTAGACAGCTTTTGATTGTTACTTTATGCTAGGTTCATCATTGTCATCATTTCCATTCAAAATTCTGATGATTAAATAAGAATACCCTGTATACAATATTTTGCAATGTAAATGTATCAGCAATTCACTCATTAAGTTTTGAAAATATATATACAAGGTGTCCAGAAAACTTGTGCCAAACTTCAGGATGTGTTTATTTGGCTTATCATAAGCAAGAAATTATCAACGAAGAAAGCTTCCCATCTCAGTTGTTACGAAGTTATAAAATCAAATCACCATTTAACACACTTTGTCCCCTCGTCTTTGCTAGTGGACTCGCCCCCCCACCCAATTAAAGCCTGAAGGGATATTTGATTTTGTCCCCATTTGTCCATTTCTTTCTCTCTCTCTCTTTTCATAACTAGTATGTAGTGTTCAGTACAGTATAGATTTCATTTGTATTCCTCTAATGTTAAGCACTATAATTCTCTGATGCTCTTCAAACAAATATAATATTAGGATGGAAATTGGAATTTGGCAGCAATTTTTCTCTGCTAAAATTAGAAAATGTAAACCACTATAACGCTTTACATGTATCATACTTGTGAACAGTATCTCTCTACCATAGTACTTACTTGGTAATATATTTTCAGGGTTCTGGGGATGTTAAATATCACTTGGGTACATATCAAGAACGTCTGAACCGCGTAACAAACAAGAACATTCGTTTGGCCATTGTTGCCAACCCATCCCACCTTGAAGCTGTGGATCCAGTTGTTCAGGGCAAGACACGTGCTGAGCAGTTTTATCATGGTGACTCTGAGGGTAACAAGGTGAGATGGAGATACCCTTTTTAATAGCATACAAGATATTAATTATTCTTAAAGATAAGATTCACTGAACATTTTCCAGTTCTCAGCCCCTTTTTGTGAGATACTCATGTACAAATATTTATTTGAATCTTTAGGGGTTCCCCACACAAAGATTTAGTTATTTATTGATCAATATTAGAGGAGGATAGCTTTCTGTACTGCACAAATGCAGAACATAGAACCTAAGCTAAACCTTTGATCTTGGGCTGAGATTCCCAGGTTCATGAGTCTCGAGGTTCATAGATGGGATGGAGAACTAACAGGGCTTTTTCTATGATTGTACATGTTCCTAGATCCTCCAGAATCATCATTAATTCACATTGGACTGCAACATGTATCAGTCATTAAAACTGAACTACTGACTTTCATACTGTCTTATAGGTATACAGTACTTGTTTTTTTATGATGTATATAGATTGTATGAATTTATTACCAGGTACTGTCAATTCTGCTCCATGGAGATGCTGCATTTTCTGGCCAGGGCATTGTGTATGAAACTTTCCACTTGTCTGAACTGCCAGAGTACACAACCCACGGTACAATCCATGTTGTTGTCAACAATCAGATCGGTTTTACAACTGACCCCCGTATGTCTCGATCTTCACCATACTGCACTGGTAAGTTAAAAATTGGTGTGCATGGATAATTTAAGTGATCTTAAGGTGACCACTTTATTGTTAAGTCAGATTATGATAAAATTTAGAAAATGAATGGAGAGTTTGTGTTTGCCCTTGATGCTGGCCACCCCACATCATAGTGGGCAAAGACTTGCAAAAGGGAAAATAACGAATAACTGAATTGGATCTGTTTAGCCATCATCAATTTCCATTAATTTGTGGTTTGTTTTTCAACCAATTTCCAAATGTAAATTCAAAGAAAATGTTAAATATAATCCATTTAATACTTTCTTTGATTTTATTATATGATCTACACTATTTTTCATTATAATACAATATGGTGGATGACTAGTTAATATTTTATTTCTCTTTATTTGTCTTGTCTAATCTACCTGTCTATGCTCTATTCACTCCAAGCTTGCAACTGGGCCAAATCAAAGGAATCTCATGATTGGTTGAGTCATGCCGGGTGAATTTGTGTGAGAGGTGGTGATATACAGTTGGACGTCATTTTGGTCATCAGTCAGTAAATGCTCACCACAGTGACTAGTCACCCCACACGCTGCTGTTCCGTTCCACTCATTTCAATCCTCTTGTACTCTTGCTAACACTTGCTGTCCCTCATTCTATCTCTCTAATACTTTCTATTTCTCTTTATGTATACCTGTATCTATCTATCAATCTTACTTTCTATCTTCTATCTCTCAAAATTTCTCTCACTTTCTCTCTCTAACTTTCTCTTTCACTTTCTCATACACCCTTATATAGAGTGAGGTATTCTGTACATGCAGCAAAAAAAGGCTGTAAGCAATTGTAGGAATAGAGCACTGAGTTTGTAGGCAATACACTAGGTGCCTGTTTTATGAGTAAAAGCTGTAGACTCACACTTTGGATGGATAATCTTTATTATTGCCAAATATTACTATTTAAGATATAGTAAAGAAAGAATTAAATGTAATTAGATATCCTGTTCATTTGATCTAAAAATGAACCCAGGATAGGGAAAACTGCATAGGTCTTTAGTTTATATACTATCATTAAGAATATCATATTCAGCTGCAATCTGAACAGTCAGTTATTGTGCACAATAAATAGTCTAGCAGTAAAAATAAGATGTTTTTCTTTATAATTTTTATGCTGGCTCTACATCCATTATACTCTACTTCCATCATGTTTTCAGAGTTGAATATATTTTGTGTAAATTTTCTGTCACATGTAGCGGTAGACATGATAATGTTTCTGGCCTGGCTTGGTTTTCTCAAGCAGTGACCATGCCTACAACTACCGGCGTTGATTTGTCATGACATCGTTCAGTAGCTTTCCCTGTTGGCACCTGATGCTCCTTCCCAAATTTAAGGCAGATATATAATATCAGTGTTTTAGTAACTGTAGCTATGAATGTCTACACTTGGTAATGGTAATTACAAAGTTCTTTGGAAGTATATTACTGAAAGTCAGTGTAAATTTCTACTGCAGAATGGTAACCAGAATGTCTGTTTAAATACCCAGTGTGCACCCAAGGCAGCATTGCTGTCTAAACAAAATCTGAAGTTTTAAGGGCACGTAACCAAATCCACCTAGTTTATTTGATGGTTACACAATCATTTTAGCATTTTATATTATGTGACTAAAACAGTTGAATGTTAAACTGTTTCTTTATATTGATACTTGATTACCCTATCAACACTTAATTGTCTATATTACTTGCAATTGCAGAATATAAAGAAAAGTTAATGAAGAGCTCTAGATTAAGCCCACACACAAAATTCTGCTAGCCAATCAACTGCATTGATAAAATTTGCTCTTGGCCCTGGTTACAAAGCTCATGTGAATGGAGTATAGTCAGTGCCTCTCACAGTCAGTCAGACTTAAAAATTTTCTTAACCAAGTGAGTTGCAACAGATTACTAGGTGTTTAAGACCCTTGAGAAATTAGTCTGTGTTCTTGTATCTCATCATGGTGATTGAACAGTTAATAAAAACTTCCACCTGTGTGCTTCGTAATTTGCTCACAAAGATGATTCATCAACAATACTTAGGTCTCAAATTGCACTTCCACTTTTAAGTCAGATTCCACTCATTCTACTGCTTCAGTCTCTCTTGATTCCTCAGATGTACCTTTGGAATGTTTCTTCCTCTGACGCAATTCAATCAAGTTCATGTTCATCGGGACTTACTAGTTTTGTACCTTTTAATGTAACTTTTTTCTAATCTCTAAATAGTAAATCAATGTAGAAATTTAGTTTTCAAACATTCTGAGTGGTGCCATGTGTTAGGTTGCTGATTTTTGGTTCTGCATAGAAGCAGGATAAGGAATTACTGAAGCAATTTCTGCATGTACTGTACAGTACTTTTATGCTGTTTAGGGAATGGCCTGTTTGCTGCAAGTGGATTTGAAAATACAATGTAACTGGTTCATTAGATGAGATTCTATTAAGAGCATAGATGTTTTCATCCTTTTTATTTTGTCATAAGTTTGAATTGAGGTTTTCTTCTCTAGATGTTGCCCGTGTTGTGAATGCTCCCATTTTCCATGTCAACGCTGATGATCCCGAGGCTGTTATGCATGTTTGTAATGTGGCTGCAGATTGGCGTCACACTTTTCACAAGGTATGAATCTCATAACAAGAAATCTTTTAGGATGTTTATTTTTCTGGCTCATGTAAATGAACCAATTACAGAGTACTACAGTATGAATATTATATAATTCTGGAAAATACTTTGATGCCTTGAAATATTGGCATAGTTAGATAAACCTCATATTAAGTATATTTTGTATTTGCTGTGGATCAAAGATGATAGAATTAAATCTTATTTTATATGTAAACTTAGCTATTTTTTCTTATTCATTAGATTTTTTGTTGTTACTATGGAACAGAGTTTATAAATGCTTATACAAAAAATATTTGTCCTTCACAAGAAAATTAATAAGAATTAGTTTACAAACGTAGGGATCAGGGAATTGATGTGACTTGGTAGGTACTGTACATTGAAAGTTTAGTCAATATGATATGATTTTCGTCCCCAGGATGTAGTTATTGACCTGGTATGCTACCGACGCAATGGCCACAATGAAGTGGATGAACCCATGTTTACTCAGCCTCTTATGTACAACAGAATTCGTAAACTAAAGCCAGTTATTGAACTATATGCAGACAAGCTTATTAGTGAAGGAGTTGTCAGTGCAGAAGAAACAAAGGTAAGTGATGCTTCATGAAGAACTTTATCTAGTATCATTCATTTTAAGATATTTTCATTTTGAAATTTTGTAAACCTGTGAAAGTGGATCCCATAGACCTGAAGGTCCTCTAGAAGTACTGCAGATACAACACCGAATACTGTACCTTTGGTACACATAGAAGCACTGCACTCAACTCCTCTCACCTCCCCAAATTTGAAGTTAGGTACCAATTTACAACTGAGTGGACTGGGCAGGTCCTGGGTGTGAACCAGTGGCCCTGAGGACATAGGTGAGTGCTGTATCCACTTGGTCACTGCACCCTGTGGATACAGACTAAAGAGAAGTACAAAACAAGGTGTATATATACAGAGGAGGGTGAGACCAGGTCCACAATGGTCAGGTATTAGGTAATGACCCTACTAATCTTTGTACATTAGTAATTTGTACATTAGTGTACAGTACTGTAATACATTTATAATATAAATTTTTTCAACTGCATTTTTGGGTAGGTTTACATCAATTTCTTCATTTATTTTCATCCATTTACATGCACACACCATACTAAAAGAAATGTAAAAGAAATAAATGGCCTTAGTGCAAAGCCGGAGTGCACATGTACTAATTTGATTACGGGACTAAAATTGTTATGTCTAGTGCAAATTATAGCATGTTTATATTAAAATTAATCATTATCTTACAAGAATCCCAACAATGTTGATTATATTCACCCAGGTCATGTCACTGGCTTTTTATAAGAGAGAAGCTTAGTCACCTAAGAACTGATAAATATACAGGTACACGCGTTAGACCTTGGGCCGGTGCCAACTGTCAAACGTACTACCTCCCCTCTCCCCAAGCCCCCTCGCTCGCTCCTTCCCTCCCTCCCTCCCTCTCCCCCAACTGCCTAGCGTTGCTGGAATCCTTGTAAAACCGTGAATAATTTTAATATAAACGTCATGTATTTTGCACAAGAAATAAAAATTAATCACCTGTATCACATTACAGTAGTGATTTAAGAGTAAAGGTGTAATGTACGTATGTAGTATTCCACATACACGTAAGTACAAGTATAAATAAAAAGTTTGTGATGATCGAACAACGTCCATTTCGGTTAACGTCACGTTTCCAAGAACGTATCTAGGACGTTAACCGTCGCATGACTGTATATAATTTTTTTTTTTTTACATAATTGCCAGAGTTTTTCTTTTTACATCATTTGATAGATGGAATTTTATCTTTAATGTGTTTCAACAGGAAGTGAGGGATAGATATGAAAAGATTCTTGAGGAGGCATTTACAGCAGCAAAGTCAGAGACCCGAGTCTTCAACAAACACTGGATTGACTCTCCATGGTCAGGTTTCTTTGAGGGCAAGGATCCCTTGAGAGCAACTCCAACTGGTGTCCATGAAGACACCCTGACACATATCTGTAAACGGTTTGCAAGTGCACCACCCAATGCTAGTGACTTTGTGATTCATCGTGGGCTGCAGCGTATCTTGAGCAGTAATTATCTGTTACCTCTATACTGTATATTGTAGTTATAAATGCATTTGTGTATGGTTTTTCTCTTTCCTTTAAGATATTTAGTACATTTATATTAGTATCAGTAGCTCTTAATATGCTGTAGGGTTTTTGTAATAAGAACAATTGTTTTGCTGTTAGTTTATAAGAATTTTAGTATCCCTTGCTTTACCACAATAGGCCGAATGGAGATGGTTAAGGCACGAACTGTTGACTGGGCAATGGGTGAGGCTGTGGCCTTTGGGTCTCTGCTCAAGGAAGGTGTCCATGTTCGTCTCTCAGGTCAGGATGTAGAGAGAGGAACCTTCTCACATCGTCACCATGTTCTCCATCATCAAAAGGTATTTGCAATCAAACTGACATGAATTCTGATCATTAAAAATTAATGCAATGTGAGAGATATGCTGTCTTAGCATATTTTGCTAGGCATATTTTTTTCGTGGTCTAATATTTTTACTAAAATTTATTTTTTATTTGAGCCAGACCGCAACATATCTCTTTTTGAAGGTAATTGATGATTGCTGGTTTGTTTGGTAAGTAGGAGTAGGATTCATAAAGCTTTTAAAAAAGTCAGGTGAAGCCAATGTACAGTATGGTAAATATTGTGTTTAGATGGGTTGCATTTGACAATTTATAATGGACACTTTTGCTGATTGTGTTTGACTAGCAGTAGGTCATTGGTGACCAGGTACTAAAGATTGTATACCTTTGACATACTCTTTGTGACAAAAACATACAAAGGAAAGTCTTGGGATGATGGATAGTAGAGGTAAAGAGTGAACAACAAGCACAAGGTTAAGTTGTGCTCACTTCATTAAAGGCTAATATTGTATGGTAGTTACTGGTTGCTTGAAGTGAAAAACATAGTCTCCCAGATGTATCTGATACAGCCTTACAAAATGTTTTGTATTATTCTAGCTTTAATACTAGTAGTGGAAGTTCACATGCAAGTGATACTCTTCAATGTCATTGATTGCTGGTTTGCTTATTTTTCCAAGGACCTTTTGTTGTTCTGTGAAAAAGTCATATAATTTATTAATACAGTATACTGATGCTGCTAATTAATTTTGAATCAGTCTGTTGTTGAGAGATGTGATTGTATTTTTGTGAAATGACTTATATGTTTCATTTCACTTGTGAGGTGATGACATCCATGACATAGATGTTAGGAAAAAGTGCTTCTTGTGAGTTCAGTGCAACCCGTCTACTGGCAATGTTATTAGGTATGCTGAAGAGAGTTACAAAGTAATAACTGTTTCTGTACAGCATTGTGTGTGTGCATGCATGTGTGCATTTGTGAAGATGTAGTAAAGATTTTGTGTTAAATAATTTCATTTTTTGCAGGAATAGCTTCCCTTGTCTTGAAAAAATCTGGGTAATAATGGTGGCAGAGAACAGTTTAAAAATTTTCTTGATTATTTCAATAGATATGAGGATGTGAGAGCCAACAGTAATTACTAAAGGTTAATTAGCATGCCATTATGAAGGATCACTGATTTGCCCATTATGAGGGATAATACTTTTGCTTTAAGAAACATTTGAAAAGGCATTATGCAAGGGATATTTTTTATCTCCTTCTCAAAGTAACACATGTAATTGCACACTCAGAGAAGATAATACAAGAGCAATTTGTATAACTGGATTTTTATAGGAAGGATTTGAAATGGTTGTAGGCAAAAGATTACAAGATGTTAGAATGTTATTGACAACAGATAGTAAGGTCATTGGAGTTGGTAGTGATGTTGATGAGGGAATTTAAAAGTTATTTGGACTGAAGGTGATGTTGAGAGTTTGTAATGCTACTGGTTGAAAGTGACATTATGGTTATCATTTAAACAAATGAATTTTGTAGTTTTACCAGTTGGAATGAGATTACGGTACTAGGAACAGCCATAGTTGGGAAGATTTATTGTAGCTTGTATAAATCAATGAAGGGGGTCAGTGAGTGTATGATGGACAGGTTTATTTTTACGATTACAAATGTCCCTTATGTGGCACTTACAGGACAATCCCCAAACACTGACTTGCTTTGCTAGGTCTTAAGTGAAATGGTACAAGCATAGAAGTGTGAGACCTAAGATAGGAAAGATTAGGCTATAAATGCAATCAGCATGTATGTATGTATGTAAGATGAGAGTAGCTATCTTCCTAGTGGTTCCCTTTGGTCTTATATATGTTAGTCTTTTGTTGAGAAACTTTAGCATTGACCTTTTCTCTTGTGTCATAGTAAATGTGTTCTTCTCAAACAAGTTATTCTTCTGTCAAGTATCTATCATTAACTTTCTGGTGTTCATAGCTGCTAGCCACTGATATAGAGACATGTTTCTTATAGTAGCCTGCCACTGATGTAGAAGAATGTCATCATAGAATCTAGTCATTTGATAAGTTTGTGGATTGAAGATAAGATTTACATCAGTTTGTTGTTTTATGATTTCCATTTGTATGTTTGGGTGGTAATATACATGTATTAAATCTACTAATAATATAAGTGTTAGTATGTACTTAATGCAGGAGTGTTTTGTATGTGTGAGCATGTATGATACAACTGTTAATATTTCAGATGACAAATCAGACTCCAGTAAGGCGGTAGATGATAACGTCTCCAGCAGCCGCTGTTAGATGAATAGTGTTCAGTAACTTTTTGCTCATGATGGTGTGGGTGGCTTACTTATAAAAACTAATTCTCTAATGATATTTGTACACTTGTGGAAAGTTGTTTTGGCCGACATTAACCTAGGACACCAAATGTTATAATTATCAATACTGTACATCTTTATTATACTGTACTGTATGTATAGCATTTGTGTAAATACTCTTTCAGCAGCTTTTGTTAAACATACAACTAAATGGTATATATTTTTCCTATATTTGCCATTGTTCGTTACACTGCTGAAAAAGTAAGAGTATTTATTTTACCAAATTTTTACGTTTTGACTTGCATTCAGAATACACCATTGATCTACTGTATAACAATGCTGCGTTTTATAAATTGTCTGAATGCGGATGAAGCATTTACAGGTGTTCATCCTTGTGTTTAGTTGTACCTGAAATAGAAAGGGAGTAGAAGTATTAAATTACTGTGACCTTACCTTGCCTTCATAGGACTCTCCCAACTGACTTTGAAAATATAAAAGGGATTCCATTTATCTGTCAATTATCACAAACTTCTTTCCCATCTTTGGTAAGTGGATCAAGTGCACAAAGTCACATATGAGGCTGCTGGAGTTCAGGTGTGAGTTGTATAAGTTTTACAAATTCTGTTTAAAATTTTTAGTAGTAAGGGAAAACCTGAGGATATTATGTATGAGAAAAGGCCTGTGAGATGGTTAGTGGTCTTGGAAGGTTGCACAGTATGAATATATTAGTTGATTTTTGGCACAGGATTGTCCGAGACATGGGTTATGAATGACTAATCTAAGTTTGTAGAGTGTAAAGTATGTGGTTCCACTGATATTGTTGAGCATATTAAACGAGGGAAGGTGGGGGGTGGGGGGAGGGTTGGGACCGACCAACCCAGCTGGCGTGAGTGTTTGGAGTGGGGGGGGGAGGCAAGGTGGTGTACTTTGATTGACAGATAGTGTGGTGAAGAATATTTTTTTTTATTAACTGAAGATATTTGTTTTAGCTCATAAAATTCATACAAATTACTCGACCAGAATATAATTTACATTGCTGGAATTCTTACAATATGATGATCATTTTGAATATAAACATCATGGATTTTGCATTAGACATACAAATTTTAGATCTAATGTAATAATTTGGTTTACACAAAGCAAATATTTTATCTTTTGTGCAAAATATATGAAATTTACATTCAAAATATTCCCTGACCTTCAAGGAATCCAGAAATGTCAATTATATTATCCTAACTTTAGTCTGAGGTATTATTTATTACTAAACGTTAAAACCTAGTGTTTTCACCCAATCATTTCTCAGAGAGGTGTGAGCTGGGAAGAGGGGGGGTGGGGGATTTGAGTCCATTATTTGAATGGACATTAACTTGGCGACTGTATTTCTCTTAAATATTAATTGTGTGAGCATACCATCATAAAATTTAGATGTTATTTTTACTACAACATAGGTATTGTGTCAGAAAAAGTGGAGTTTGGGGGTCGGGCCAGTCCCTATTGGAATTAATCCCATATGATCTGTTGTTCACTTTACTCAGTTTTCACTTTCCGCAGTACCCTGTGGGTTCAATTGACCGCGTAAATCGTTAATTGGGGTACTACTTTTTCTTGTGTTGTTATTTTGACATAATTTATAATGAATTGCATTGTTCTCTAGCTGTAAACCAATCACATATATACTGTACTGTACCCCAATAGTAGTTGCCAGATATTGAAAACAAAATTGGGAAATTTGGCTGTAACTGTACATAATTATGAAAACACACACACACACACACACACATGCATACACTAGCTGCCATAAAGTGGCTTTACTTAAATATTTTGGTGGTGGTGGTGATAAACGTTGAGGCTGGTGAGTACGGCATCACTTCTGATACTGGAAAGCATTAACGGAAGACCTTTGAAAGAAAAAGTTATTCAGAGCTCTAAAACATCTATTTCTTAAAATGCATTGTATGGCTAGCCACCAGTTCCTTAACCCATCCCTACTAAACAAGATAGCTGAAACTGCTACACATATTACTTTATAAATGAGGATATTAAAAAGATTTTCATAATTGATAAAATAAGCATTTGTTCATGGGTTTTCCCCATGGGTATCAAGCACTGGCTTGATACTGAGGTTTATGTTTGCATGGAGTTGGAAATAAGCTTACCTGATTTACATGCTATTAAGCCTTTGTCTTGTTTTATAACAATGTGCAATAATCCAAACTTTGTCAGTACCATAGTGTTGAGGTGTTCTTGAGTGTACTGTTGCATGGAGGCTAACATGGAACACTGTAAAGACTTATTGGGTGGGATGCACTACAGTATTGGGATATAATTTTATCAACTTGCTACCACACTCCACTGGGGCCACTGATACAGTCCAAATGTACCTTGAGTCTTGACAATAGTGAAAGAACACGGCAGGGTTTTGTATCTAGCTGGTGACTTTATAATCTCTACAGCTTAAATAATTATGTGGAGAAAAGGAGTTCTTCCTCTGCTCCTTACAAAATTGTAGATTATCTTGCAGATATTCTTAGTCACACTGTTAGTTAGTGCAGTATATGATGTGGGACTGAGTGAAAAGAATTGGGAAAACTTTGTATACAGTACAGTATATGAATATTTTGCTGCTATTTATTTGATGTTTATTAAGATGGCCAGACTTGCTTAGGTTCTTCAGATTGTTTACATATTTATTCACATTTGTCTACCTTTAGTTTTCAGTGTTTTTATTATGTGGCAACTGTGACAAACTCCACATGAGTCCTATGATTTGTGTTGGCTTTAGAAAAACAATGACTATATCAGCACTCAATTTTTTGGATGGTCATATAAGTTGTCCCTCACAAGGCTGTAAATATAAGGTGCTGAAGGAGAGAAATGAATAGCCAGTGTTTGTGGATTATGCACGCGAGATTTAGAGAGTCTGGGCTTAGGTTTATGAAGATTCTGTACGATACTTTGGTCCTATATTTGGTAGTACACAAATATATCCTGTGAAGATGATTTCAAGACAATTTGGGTGTCATTTTGGATAATCCTTTTTTATGCTGTAGTTTTCAGATCTTCCAGTTAATTGTGTTCTTATGTCTCCAGTAATAGGAAACAATGTACAAACCTTTAAAAATCCAGGACCTGGGCTGTACAGTATTATCATAGATTGTAATAACTGGCAGTAAGTGGTTTCTAAGCTGTTTAGATTGCAAAGCTTATTTATCTTATACTGTACTAACACAAAAATTTGGTAAATATATAGAATTTGGTCATCAGAAACAATTCTTTGTAATTTGTGTGTTAATTTTATTGCTGCATTTAACCTGTCAGACATGATTCCTACACCTTACATACATCTCCTGCATTTTAGGAGTTTCACTGAGGTGTCTTTCATAAATCAAGTGATATCCTTCACACTACTTTTGTGTACAGTATACACATATATTTGCTTCCTTCATCATGCTATTTTTTGTGACTCATACTTAGGAGGTTTAACTTCTAATATGAATAATCATCTTTTCCTTGAAAATAATATTTATTTGATTTATTATATATTTATCTTTACTTTGTTGCTTAAGAGGTTTATATATATTGCATATCTCTTCCTTGTTGCGTAAGAGGTTTTATATACAGTATTATAGATTTTCTTTGCTACTTGGAGGTTTAGTACATTTACATTTATTTTCCTTTTCCTTGATCTTCCTCTGATACTGAGAACATTATTAATACTGTAATTTTCGTAAAATATGATCTGTAGTGTCTTATTTTTTTCATATCTTCAGATTCACCTGTACATATTGCTGAGGTGATGTAGATATATGAGAATAACACTTTTTTGTTCTTACTTATAATCATGAAATATATTTACTTGATTTTCTGCAGGTGGACAAATCCCAATACAATGCTCTGGCAAACCTGTACCCAGATCAAGCCCCCTACACAGTGTGCAACTCATCTCTCTCTGAGTATGCAGTGTTGGGCTTTGAGCTTGGTTTCTCCATGACGAATCCCAATGCTTTGGTTCTCTGGGAGGCTCAGTTTGGTGACTTCAACAACACAGCACAGTGCATCATTGATCAGTTTATATCCTCTGGGCAGTCAAAGTGGATCAGACAAACTGGTCTTGTTTTGTTGTTACCACATGGCATGGAAGGCATGGTGAGTAGAAAAAAGCAAGTAAACTTAAATAGTGAATGATTTTTTTTTATCACTATCATTACCAACCTGTACAGCAACAGTTTACTGCTGGATGAAAGTCTCCTTCATTTGATTTTCTGCCCTGAGCTATTACTGTACATTGTAATGTCTTTTTCACTCCTTTCCTCTTTTGAAACTTAAGAACAACCATAATACCATGGTAAAAAGGGTAGAATATTGGTTAATAATGGTACACATTGTAATTTGATACAGTACTCTTATAATTGATTAATTTTTTTAATGTAAATAATTGTGCCCAGGGACCTGAACACTCCAGTTCCCGCCTTGAGCGCTTCCTGCAGATGACCTCAGACGATCCAGATGTTCTCCCTGCATTTTCAAGTGACTTCGCAATCCGGCAGTTGTCTGATATCAACTGGATTGTAAGTATATATACTGTATACAATACTGTACGTATATATCTTTTTTTAAATTTTTGGGAGAGAATCCTTTTCGGGAATTTCTTTTTATTCAGAGATCTTTATCACCAATACTGTTCATAAATTTTTGTATTTCAAGGATCTTAAAGTGTGCTGTTGGATATTCTGTTTATCTCAGTTCATAATCATTCAGTAAGGAGAAGAATGAAAAGTATGTGTGTGTGTTTGCTCAGTTGTGGCCACCCTATATCATAATGGCAAAAAAACACAAAAGAGTGAGTGCTCTCCGTACAGTTCAGTTATTTATATTGGTTATCTAAAATTATGACTGGACTAGAAAATTTGGGGTTGACTACAGGAAGTTTAGAAATATAGAAAATGCAGAAAAATGGCTTATAAGTATGGATAGGAAAATAGAGCTGTAGAAGTCCACATGTAAGGTTGTTTGATATGTCAGTTGCCTGTGGTTTGTTGGTGATACATGACCCTTTGAATAAATGAACTAGGGAAAACAGTAGAGTAATGTTGAACTATAAAATTGTAGAGCTTTGAGAAATTTTGTTGCAGTTAAATGATGTATGTCTTTAAAATTGACATCAGAGTGATTGTGTCTCACCAGTAGTGGGGAACTGAAATTTTATTAGATAATTAACCTGTTCTTTAATGTCTAGCCTAGCAGGGGTATGTATATATGATGGCATTAGTACATATTGAATTCAATTATTGGGACAAATGGCAGGAAAGTTTTTTTTTTTTCACTCACAGGTCTTTTATATCATTAATAACTGTATTCACATCCATTCTAATGTTAGTTCTATAAATATTATAGGTTGCTAACTGCTCCACCCCAGGCAACTTGTTCCACGTCCTTCGAAGACAAATTGCTCTTCCCTTCAGAAAACCACTGATTATCATGACCCCTAAATCTCTCCTCCGTCACCCAGAAGCCAAATCCTCCTTTGATGACATGGTTGAGGGAACTGAATTCCAAAGGTACTGGTAGTGTGTTGTTTCACATTTGTCATGAATATTTTAACATAAATATTCCTCTAGTTTTGAATATACTGTACTGTCCTGTAGTATACCATGTTTTTACCCCCATATCAGCTTCACCAGAGGGAAATATAGGAGTTCTCTCTGTCTCTCTTTTTGTTTGTGTCTCTCTCTTTCTCTCTTCAATTTTGGTACTGCCTGCTCCACAGAAATACTGGAAATTTTCCAACAAACTTGGTCAAGTTTAGGGGATAGGAAGACAATGATGCAGTTTAAATTCATAATGTAAATATGTAGAGCTTAAAATATTTTAAGAGGGAAAGTCCCATCTCAATAACTGTGTATGGTACTGTATATAAGTTACCTACAACTTCCTGAGGTGACGCTTTCTATTTCAAGATTTTGGGTAGTAGCTTCACATGTTCTGGCTGACAGGTCATTATTGCTCAGACTAGTGGGGTTGTGTGAGTAGGATGGTAACTGCTATCACTAACTGTTAATCTTATGTCTGTCTCTCCCTCTTTGTCTCAATCTTGCCTTGAGAATGGATAAAACTTAGTTGTTTGCACTAGGAAGATGTATTCACCATGAAAACCCATAGAGCTGTTATGTTTGGGGGAAATGGCAACAACTGATGTGAGTTGGCACATAGCCCATGTGCCATCTAGTTTGTAAGATAGAAACTTCAACTTTTTGTAATTTTTTGTTATGTATGCTGTATAAAAATTGTGTGCAAAACTCGAAATATTTACTTAATGACGTATTATCATCTCATGTTTCCATATTGTCTTGCTCTTGTTGAACTATATAAATATAGGTAAGACCTGAATGGTACTTTAAGATTTAAAAATTATATTTGAGGAAATGAGGAAAGGCTCTTTGTGTCAGCTGTTTGTTGTTGTAGACAATGAATTTTCTCTACCAGTCTCCCTTATCATTTCCTTCCTTCATTTGAAATTTTTGTGTCCCTAAACACACTCCACACAGAAGTGGGAAAGGAGTAATAAGATATCTAGAATATTGATACGACCGTCAGGAGGTACATTACCTTACACATAAATTTTGAGAGAGAATAGAGGAAGTTAACCAAAGTTGTTGTTACCACAGAATAATCCCAGAGGCTGGCCCAGCAGCAAAGAATGAAGCAGGTGTAAAGCGCCTCATTTTCTGCTCGGGCAAGGTGTACTATGACTTGGCAGCTGCCCGCAAAGAAGCTGGTATTGAGGATTCGATTGCAATTGCAAGAGTGGAACAGGTAATATGAAAAATTTGTTTAGGTGTTTTTATTTTTCACTGTTAATATTGCCTGGCATGTATTTATTGGGTCTTATAAATACAGGTTGCCCTCAGTTATACCAGAGGTGTGTTGCTGCAAGAGGAAATTTTCAGGTTTACACTAATTGAAATTTGATAACTAAATTTTATAGATTTAATTGAATGTCATTAGTGTGGTAAATGGCCATAAGATGTTGACGATGATACTCCACTCATCATTACATTGTTATTTTCTGTATGAGGAGAGGTTGCTGTTTGCCAAGAGTAGGAACCACATGACCTGTCAGTAGCTTCAAGCATTTAAGATACAGTAATGTCCACCTCAAATGATTAATTTTGAATGTTACTATCACTCCCTAATCCATTGGGTGAGTTAAGGAAGATGTTTTAGGTGGCATGAATATGACTCAAATATTAGGAGGTAGGTCATTAAGGTGTGTAGGATGACCCATAAATTTTTTTAAAGAAAAATAACGCCTTGAAACTTAAGTTTAATCATGGTAGTAGTGCTCCATCTCCACACAAAAACAGTTCACAAACCAGTGACCAGGTAGGATATGGTTATTGAGGCTCATTAAAGCCCAGGCATTCTGGGAATGATATACAAATACAGTCATGCGCTGGTTAACGTCCGATCGCATATACGTCCGTGCCCCCCCCCAAAGTGACGCCTGCTGGACCACCACTCCACGACCCTTGATGGAGACATGATGATCCTCCCCATACTGGTCAGATATTATGTATTAAAGGAATATACTTCCTTACTTAGGCTTTTATAAACATTTGCCTACAGGTGAAATGTTAACCTACATCTATTGAGGATAAAATCTTTCACCTACAAATTGACAATAACACATTTGCTGTAATCAGAAATATCTAGTTGCCTCAAATTGGGGTTGCAATTTCAAACTCTGTGGCATTACTAAAAATAGTATAGTTTCTGGTGCACTCTAAGATTAAGAGAGAAAACGGAGGACTCGTGCGTCCTGATGTGAGAGAAAACAGACTCGTATGATGGGGGGACCAAATAAAAAAAGCATAGCTACATGTTTTGTGGACTACAGTATTAAGCGTACCCTTTTCATCACTTTGTAATAAACCTAGCCATGCCCATGTGTGTTTATGATATTTACCATAACATTATATATATATTTAGTGGGTCTAAATGGTCGTAAAATGGGAAACTTGGGGTTGGGTCTTGGGTAAATGAACCAATTAGAATAAATCCCATAGGTTCTGTACTTTCGTTATTGGCGGGGTCCCAATTAGGCACGATAACCAAGGGATGACTGTACTGTACTGTATATACTTGTGACACTGGCCAGTTGCTTCTGGTGTTATGGTACAGGGGTACCAAGTGACAGCACTAGGATCCCGCTTCCTCTATCAAGGAATAAACAATTAAAATTTAAATTGAAAAAAAAAACATTCAAATAAATTACTATCTTACAAGAATCCCTCCAATGTAAGTTATATTCACCCAGGTCGTTGGGTGAAAAATTATAAGAAGAGCTTAGTCACTCTTAAGTAATGATAAATAAAAACACGCAGGCAGGCCTTCAGCGCCAACTGTCAAATCTTATCTCAAATATATAAACAAACAAATGCCAGACATTGTCACACACACACACACCCGCCATCTTCCCACCACCCTCGTGTTCAAGATAAAAGATTGGTGATTTCTTTGTTTATCTTATATAATATCTCCGACTAAAATTAGGATAATATGATTTGCATTGCTGAAATCCTTGCAAGACAGAGATTAATTTTGAATATAAGCATCATATATTTTGCTCAAGATATAAAAAATGTAGTACAGTCGGCCCTTAACATACGCTGGGGTTACGTAACAGAGATACCCGTGGATGTTAAAATCCGCGTATTTTTGCTGCCGCCTCCACCCCCCCACCCCAAAAAAAAAAAAAAAACCTGGTCCCCCATGTCCTTATTTACCGTATATACCTGTGTGTAGTTCGAGTTTATAAGACCAAATTATTTGGCAAAAAATTGGGGGTCGACCTCTAAACGGGTAATAGTTTCATTATGTTGAAAAATATTTACCAGTAAACGATGCACCAACGCACCACCAGCTGTGAGTGTCGGTACAGTTGCCAGGGCAGATTGCTTGCGTCATCATAGCAAGCCCAAAGTAGCCAAATCCATGGTATGGTAGCATAGGACGATGTAAAACATAAAGTATTCATTTATTAAAGTGTATTTATAGATACTGTACATAAATTTTTGTTCATTACATTTGAAACATCAATCTTTGTTAATTAAATTTGAAACAAGAGAAAACTACGATACCGTATTTTCACAAAAATATTACACCACAAGTATTTTTTACCTTAACTGTGACTGAATGAATATATTCTCGGAAATAAATATGGAAATGTAATATTTTTGCTGGAATGACGTACATATTACAGTGGAAAGTGGGATAAAATCATGACGAAAACAATGACTTTCGCTTTCTTTTGTTGTTCAAAAGATTTTACCGTAATCGCTTTTCGAATGGTTTTCAGCTAAAAAACTGTTGTACTCGTACTGGATTACAATAATATCCTATCATTAGCCTTCTAATCCCACAACTGAAAACCATTCAAAAAGCAATTACGGTAACATCTTTTGAACGAAAGAAAGAGAAAGTCGTTGCTTTCGTCACAATTTTATCCCACTTTCTACTGCAATACGTACATCATTTCAGCAAAAATATTACATTTCCATGTTCTCAGAAATGAATGATAGTTTTGTTGAAACGTAATGTACAGTATTTTTTATTTTTTTTATTGGGCACACCCCTACATCCTTGTGCAAGGTGAAGCGCAGAAGCGTTTACAGCGCCCAACAGGGAAGCATGCTAAGTTCATGCTTGCCTTTATGTCTCACGAGTTAAGGGCGTAGAAGCCTGAAGAGTCAGTGGTTTTATGTCATGAAGTTATTGGAAGCTCCAACATCTTTCCCTGAATACAAATTCGCAATTTTCGATTTACACCAGGTACCTACTTTACTGCTAGGTGAACAGGGACTAATGGGGGCAAGGAAGTAAGTCCAAACAACTTCCACCGGCCCGGGAATCGAACCCGTGACATCTCGCTTAATGTACAGTATTTAATATTAAAATGCAAAAATAGCTATAAAAACAATTAATACACCCATAATGTACTGGCTGGCATCACCACTCGTCCCTGCTCCCGCCAGTCACCTCCTCCCCGCTCTATCCCTCCGCCTCCTCCACGCTCTATCCCTCCGCCTCCTCCCCGCTCTATCCCTCCGCCTCCTCCACATCGTCACTACTGTTGTATTACAATAATATTCTATCCTAATTCACTTCAATAAATACTACGATACCATATTTCTGAATATTTTCATTAAAATCCATCAAAATCGTTTTCCTTGTCATCGTCTTCAACACCAAACAGCTCCTCCCAGTCTTCTCCTTGAACAGGGCTAGAGGGTACGTTTTTTTCGAATCATTTTCAGTTAAAAAAAATGTTACATCACATGTATATTTTACCTAAACTGTGCCCGAATGAATATATTCTCAGAAATAAATAGTAGTGTTGCTGAAACGTGATGTATTTCAATGTAAAATAGGATAAAATACATGACGAAAACAAAAGACTTTACCTAACCTTCCGATGTTCAAGAGATGTTACTCGTTTTTATAATAGTTTTTGGTTAAAATACTGTTATATTACAATGATATTCTATTCATACTGTGCTTGATATAATGCATTCACGGAAATGTAATATTTTTGCTGAAATGACGTACGTATTCCAGTGGAAAGTGGGATAAAATCGTGACGAAAACAATGACTGGCTTTCTTTCGTTCAAAAGATGTTACCGTAATCGCTTTTCGAATGATTTTCAGTTAAAAAAACTGTGGCATCACAAGTGAATACAAGCGATTACGGTAACATCTTTTGAACGAAAGAAAGCGAAAGTCATTGCTTTCGTCACTTTCCACTGTAATACGTACGTCATTTCAGCAAAAATATTACATTTCCATATTCTCAGAAATAAATAGTAGTTTTACTGAAACGTATTGTATTTCAATGTAAATTAGGATAAACTACATGAAAACAAAAGACTTTACCTAACCTTCCGATGTTCAAGATATGTTACTCGTTTTTTTAATAGTTTTCGGTTAAAATACTGTTATACTAGTGATATTCTATTCATACTGTGCTTGATATAATACATTCACGGAAATGTAATATTTTTGCAACTACAATGCTGATGTCAACACAAGCGTGGTTACAGCGAGACTGACTGAGTGAGGGAGAGCTATGCGTGTGTGTGTGAGGTTGCCGGAGCGGGCGGTGTTCGGTGCCGCGCGCGGGTTGAATGGCGCGCGATTTGAATGTACTTCAATTACTTCAATGTACAGAATATTCCTCCGGCGGGGCAATCCGCGTACTTGCAAATCCGTGTATGCTAAACCCGCATATGTTAAGGGCCGACTGTACATTAATGTACAATACTGTAGTACATTTTATAAAAATATTTTCAACTGTATTTTTGGGTAGATTTACATAAATTTCTTCATTTATTTTCCTCCATTTATATGCACACACCATACTAAAAGAAACGTAAAATAAATTAGTGCAAAGCTGGAGTGCACGTGTACTAATTTGATTACGGAACTAAAATTGTTATGTCTAGTGCGAATTACAACATGTTTATATTCAAATAAATCAGTATCTTACAAGAATCCCAGCTATGTTAAGTATATTTTCCTAGGTCATATCACTGGCATTTTAAAATGAGAGAAGCTTAGTAGGACTGTTAAATAAACACACAGAGACCTTCGCCTCAAACTTATCACCGCAACACCCCCCCCCCAACCCCTCACTGGGTGGCGGAGCCGTCAGTCCCCCTCCCCCCCCCAGCCAGGCTTTTAGGCTTACAGTTTTTATCTTATATAATATCTCAGACTAAAGTTAGGAGATTATTATTTGCATTGCTGGAATCCTTGCAAGACAGCCAATAATTTGAATATAAACGTCATATATTTTGCTCAAGAGATAAAAATTGTTGTACATTAGTGTACAGTACTGTAGTACATTTTATAAAAAAGTTTTTCAACTGTATTTTTGGGTAGATTTACATAGATTTCTTAGTGCAAAGCTGGAGTGCACATGTACTAATTTGATTACGGTACTAAAATTGTTTTGTCTAGTGCAAATTATAGCATGTTTATATTCAAATTAATCAGTATGTTACAAGAATCCCAGCTTTGTTAATTATATTCACCCAGGTCATTTCACTGGCTTTTTATAAGAGAGAAGCTTAGTCACCTAAGAACTGATAAATATACACGCGTTAGACCTGGGCCTGTGCCAACTGTCAAACGTACTACCTCCCCTTCTCCCACGCCCCCTTGCTCGCCCCTACCCTCTCTCTCCCCCAACTGCCCGACGTTGCTGGAATCCTTGTAAAACCGTGAACAATTTTAATATAAATGTCATGTATTTTGCACAAGAGATAAAAATTAATCACCTGTATCACATTACAGTAGTGATTTAACAGTAAAAGTGTATATGTACGTATATATTGTATTCCACATACACATAAGTATAAATAAAAAGTTTATGCGATGATCGGACAGCGTCCATTTCGGTTAACGTCACGTTTCCAAGAACGTATCTTGGACGTTAACCGGTGCATGACTGTACTTCTGTCGTGGCTCTCATTCTGGTGGTGTGTGGCACGTGAGATGTTTTCCCATGATAGATTAAGCATGTGAACCTTAGCTCAGTGTAAATGAAATTTAAATACAGTAAAAAAAAACCCGTGTGAGGAACACCTGCCAAGGGGGAAAAAATAACAACAGTACTTTTCCGTTATCTGCATTAATAAAAAAATTAATATTATCATAGGTGTTTAAGCTCTTGACTTGACAGCTTTATTCTTAGATGCTCCCTTTGAGGTGCTTGGTCCAGGGTTATCAGACATAATGGCTCAAACACCGGGCAATATTGGAAGAACAAGTGGAAAAAGCTTGCGCAGTAGACCGTAGATGTGCACTCTACAACTGACCCACATAAATTAACTCTGACCAACAGGTCCGACATGCATATACTTAGGTGTATATGCATAAAATTATCATTGTTGGAAGTATTTTTATTACATGTATTTTATATCAATTTTGTTTTTGTGTACTCTCTCAGATTGCACCTTTCCCATATGACCTGATTAAACAAGAATGTGACAAGTACCCAGATGCTGAATTGGTTTGGTCCCAGGAGGAACACAAGAACATGGGTGCTTGGTCCTACATTCAGCCACGCATTGCTACTGCCCTCAATCATGAAAGACACATTGTGTAAGTATTGAAGGTTTTGAGATAATTGACAGGTCTTTCAAAATGCTCCAATGATTTACCAGTTCAGTACTGTATACTTTACTGCATGTAAAATCAGAAGCCAAAATTTATTACTAATCATTGAAGCTTTTGCCAGGTTTGTTTAAATGATTTGCTAATATCAAATACCAGTAGTACTTGAAAATTATTATTGTGTAAAAGATGATGTTTAATTAGGATGTAGGTTATTCTGTCTATTACTGTATTTTTCTTTCTCATCACTTATTAAGTTAGTTACTCGGTCACATTTGTCTACCGTAAATATGTATGTCTGTCTGTCTGTGTTCCTTTTACATTTTATTTTACTCACCATCTCCCTTTACTGTTATCATCTATGGTGTTTCTTCTTTTGCCTCACCATCATCCCTCTTATGTTTTCATGTTGACTTGACTTCTGTAAAATATTGTTGACACCTTTACTACTTTTATTACCGATGACATCAGAAAGGTCTGTTGAATACTGCTGAAGCGTTTGAAACATCCAACTCTCAATTTTTCCATCTTCTATATCCACTGGCTTAGATGTTGATCCATTCCCATGTAGTTTGTCATCAGGATAAAGTTTAGGCCTCACCCACCCTTTGCTTCCACCTACTCACATGATAAAATTCAGGCCACATCTTGCAGTTTATTCCCCCATTCTCAGAATAGACCCGCCCATAATGCTGCATTGGGATTGGTTAGCTTTAAGTTCAACACAGAAAAATGGAAAGATTTTAGGTAAAATCATTCAAACAATGGTGATGGTAATCCTCCAGGGAAGAGGGGAGAAGACGGTTGCGTAGTTCATCATCCATATGTCACACACACACCGCAGTCCATCTCGGTCTCCATTATTTTGAAGTCAAATTGCAAATTATCTTATTTTTTTCTATTATTAATATTTTATATTATTAATGCTGAAACATACAGTACATCATAAGAGGCTGATCATACGAGAATATAATAATGAATAAATAAAAACAAATGCGAACACGGCAACAAATAATCCCCCCTCCCCCTCCCTCGCCCCACCTTTAAGGAGGTGAGTGATCAGGGAAGAGATTAACTTCTGATTTGGCTTTTTCTTTTATTTTGAAGTCAAATTACAAATAATTAATATATCATATTTTTTTTTATTTAATACTTTATATTATACAGTATTATTTATGATGAAATTTACACCATAACAGGCTGATCATATAAGAATATGATTATAAATGACAGCATTTTGAATTATTGCACACACACACACACACACACACACACACACACACACACACACACACACACACACACACACACACACACACACTCTCTCTCTCTCATAATTTATAAAGGTCTACAAGATGCCAACAGGGTAACCCAGTTTTTGTACAAGATGATAATGGGAGAGTGACTTGTTTGTGGAGAGAATAAAAGTCTTGCTCATGATTCCTGTATTAACACCTGTCTCACTCCATTTAGTTAAGAAAGGAGTAAGGCTGATGGGTTGAATCTTCAATAAATAGAATCTTAAAAAGGCAGACAAGATAGAATTTATTTACAGTAGGTTGAATCTCTTATGTAAGTGAAACATGACCATTTAGTGGAATGAAGTTAGTGCTTGAGGTCTGAATATTTTCCATTGTTTCATTATGGCACATTGTGTTTGATGAAGGATAATCACCAATACACCCAATAATATGTTTTGGCAAGCATGAAAGTTTCAGTAACTTGCATGTGAAGTAACACTCTCTTTTCCAGTGCATGTGTAATGAAACCAAGCTAAAATGTGTTATGTTAAATAATTTAACTTTTGTGGGTCAGGGTAGAGTTCTGAAGTTTTCTTTCGGTTCTGAATGATAATAAGATGGTTTGTATTTTGATTTGCATTAAGTAAATGATTGTATGACTTCATTTACCACAATCAAAACTTTGGAACTTGTGCCTGAAAATTTGTAGTTGCAGGACTAACCATTAACCACTGCTCTTCTGTAGCAAATGTGACAAGGTGGCGAATGATTCAGAGGGCCACGAGTCTCAGTCTTGGTATGAATATTGGTTCCCTTGGGCCTTCCCTACCTCGAGCCAAACAGAAGCCTCCATCCCACCTAAAAGAGAGACTCCAATAGCCTCTGATACCAGAGTGTTGAGGTGAGCAATGACTCACAGTTGACTGCTCTAGTAAACTCACTCTTGGATGAAGGACTTCATGCCTGCTTTTAGCACTACCTTCCCGTCGATTTTTTTACCTTTTTAATACTTAGTACAATAAGTTAGCACATGCAGCTGCACTTACCAAGACTGATGCTAAAGGTGGCCCATGATTGCTTTATGGTAATCCACCACTGTAAGATACGGAAAGATGAAGATGTTTCTAAATGAATCAAAGATCATCACTGAGGAGGTTGGGATAGTGCCCGATTAATGTATGTGTCTGCCATGGCTGCTTGTTATGCCGTTGCATCTGATTTTATTTATTTTTATTTTATTTTTTCTCCTGGACACCATCTCCCACATGTACATTTTCATACAAATAAAACCACAGTGGCTTGTAAAGAAACATTTCCAAACCAGCTCTTCCCTCATGTTCAAAAAGATACTTAATCAGTGGTACAAATAGATAGTTTCTGTAGAAGTGTGCACACAAATATTGGTAGTACAGATATGAAGGAATTGCCTCTTGATTGATATAATATTCAAGAATGTGTGAAAACTCTGAGGACTCAACTCAACCACCATATGGTACTGTATACATCAATGGGAACATAGGTTAGGTCTGGAGAATGAATAAACTACATAATTTTCCTCACAGTAGTGCATCCACAGGTAACTAAGGCTGGCCTATCTCCTTTCTAAATTCACTTACTTGATTAACATCTTTCATGTTCTATAAAGCTTTTAAAGTAACCCTTTCAATGCAAGTTGGAGGATAAATGTTTTATTTCAGTTCTGTATCTTGGTTTATATATGTACAGTATATAGTACAGCCACTCCTCGCCTTACGACGGGGTTAGGGTCCCAAATCCAGGTCGTAAGTCGAATTGGTTGCGAGTCGAAAACGCGAAGATAATAGTTGTACATAGAAAATCTAAAATGGGTGTCTCTCTTTCTTCTCAGCACCACAAAACTCTCACCTTTAAGCTTGCCAGCCATTTTAAAGGGAATTACAAACAAAAATTTTGTCAGTACACCGCACAATCACTAACGTCGGGACTCGAAAATACGTAATTTGAAAATATTTTGGTATGTCCAGGTGGCCGTAAGTCGAGGAGTGGCTGTATTTACATTTTTAGTAATAATTAATACCTCAGACTAAAGTTAGGATAATATAATTCACATTGCTGGATTCCTTGCAAGACCAGGAATATTTTTAATGTACATGTCATATATTTTGCACAAAAGATAACATATTTGCTCTGAGTAAACAAAATTCTTACATTAGGTCTAAAATTTGTATATCTAAAATACAAAATCTATGATGTTTGTATTCAAAATGATCATCATATTGTAAGAATTCCAGCAATGTAAATTATATTCTGGCCGGGTAATTTGTATGAATTTTATGAGCTAAATAAAAAAATTATACTTCACCCACTTCACCCGCATATATAAGTAGATGCACCGCATAATGTGGGAATTTCAGTTCTGGCAGGGTACTGCGTAAATGTAGAAACGCGTAAACGAGAACCGCTTAAACGAGAACCGCGTAAAGCGGGGTATTACTGTATATATATATATATATACAGTATAGTCTGGTTATACATGGACAGCCATTTACGCGGCACCTGTCAGAAGAGATAATTATTATTTACACGGTAAATACCATCATGTACGCGGCAAGCAGCAGGGCAAGGTGCTGGGTGCTGACGTCAGACTCGCGCCGGTGACGTCGCAAACTGTGATTGGATCGCGTATCCTTACCACCCACGCACCCCCTCCGCCGCGCGCCGTGATTGGTCTAGTCATCCTTGCCACCCCCGCCACCCACACTCCGCCACCGCGTCAGTCTCACTGTCTCCACGTATATTCACTCGTGCCCAGGAACCATTGCTTTTTTTCTTTCTACACAATGGCTTCCGCTGGACCCCCACCACCCCCGAGAGACCATCATAAAATTAAGATGATATTTTTACTACAATGTACAGTATTGTGTCGGCGATAGCCAAAAAAGGTGAGTCTGGCGGTCGGCCCAGTCTCTATTTCAATTAATCCCATAGGTTCTGTTATTTTATTTACGCGTTTAGCTTTATACGTGGACGTCCATGGGTTTAATTAACCGCGTAAAACCAGACTATACTGTACTGTATATACAGTACAGGGGGCCCCCCCAAGTTCGCAGATTTTTACTTCGCGGTTCTCCGTTATTTGCGGATGACACCCTGGATGTACCCAAGAATGTCTGTGGGTAGTTTTAAAGTTGCCGTCATTTTTGCGGGTGGGACAGGGAGCCATTTGTTCTAGAGACAGGAATTTCCTTTACCTGTATTGTAAATATATGTGTGTGTGTGTGTGTAGACACACACACACACACACACAAAACATATACAGTACAAATAAATAATAATTGGGAAAATCCTCTCACAAACAATAAAAAAAATATGTTAAGAATGTGACGGTTTACCCTCAAATTCGTGCTCTATTACAGTACTTTATTAATAGAGCACGGACTTGAGGGTAGACTGTCACATTTCTAATAAATTGGTTCTGATTATTTGTGAGAGGATTTTCCAATTATTATTTCATTATATATGTTTTGTGTGTGTCTGTCTACACACACACACACACACACACACACATACATACATACATACAAAATGCTACAGGTAAAAGAAATAATTGTCCTAAGGACAAATACATAAAAGGAATATACATTTCTTTGTACACAAGTAAAAGGCTCCCCCCCCTTCTTCTTCTTCATGATTGGCACTGTCAATCTTTATCCCATTATCAGATGATTCTTCCTGTTACTATATTAATTTCACCAGGTAAGAAGCAAAATGGTCTTGTTAATTTAAGTGTTAACACGAATAACTAAGGGCTCCTTTTGTATTATCAGGTATGCCGGCCGCCCAGTCTCTGCCTCTCCTGCCACTGGTAACAAGAAGACCCACACCCGCGAGGTTAAGCAACTCCTAGAAGACGCACTTGCCCTCTGAACCCAATACCATAGTCACTAATGGTCTGGTCATGCATTATAAAATGTAGAGTAAAACCTTTTCAGAATATAGAACTAACTGTATTGTCTAGTTACTCACTATACAAGCTCTAGGCACCAAACAAAATATTCTTTGATATTGCATCCATTGCATAAACTGTGAATCAGATGATGTGAAATTTTGTTTGCATTAAAGGTTTCTTAAGAATTAAATGAAACCCGTTAAATAAATTAACTACTGTATTCTTAAGTAACAGTCATGTACAGGTAGTCCCCAAGTTACAATCATCCACACTTATGAACGGGATCCCAATACATTCATCGCAAAAATTTGTAATTAAAATCCCATTTTTTACTTTTTCATTATTCTATATTGCTTAACATGACTTTATTTCCAGTATTTATATTATTTATGGAATATTACTGTTGTTTTGTATGGGCAGGGTTGTGTTTTAACCTAACTTATACTATGGAATTAACAGTGTTCTGACTTGCCAACAAATCGACTTACGATCAGGGTCCAGGAAAGTATCTCCATCGTAAGTCGAAGACTGCCTGTATGCTGTATACAGACAGAATCAAGATTTCCATAATTTCATACAAAATACAGTATGTTAAATCAGAAAGGTTTTACTATTCTGTATCTAGAGTTATCAAAGGACCATCTGTCTATTAGTATACTTGAAACATCATGTTATAGTACTGTACTGTAATGTGAAATGAAACAAAATTAAATGAAAGGTACTTATTTATGTAATATATTAATGTTCAGCCTTGAAACAAGACAATTTTATTGATTGTTATTTTTCAGACATTTCTCCCTCTAATTACCACTTGTACATCATTTTTGCTTTAAGCAAAAAATCTGATGGGCTAATTTAGCTGTGTGGAGAGTAATTACCAGTGCTAAGAATTATGAATACAGATAACTTGAAAAATGGAACTGCAAGTCTCATATAACATTGGAAATTGACAGTAGTTAAAGGGAGATTGTATGAAAGTAATTTTTTTTGCAGAGTGCAAATTAATGTGAAAATTGCTTAAAAGTTTAAGTTTGCTCTAGGAATTCTCTTATATGAACTAAGCATTTTTTGTAGATAGTTTTTCTCTGCTCTGTTAAGTTAGGAATAATGTAGTGATTGTATAAAATGTGATATGCTGTGCAGTAGTGTAAATAGTTGGATAACATAAGAATGCTTGTACCCTTTTTATTAGGTTGTTAGCAGTTAACAATATTCTGTTCTCATGCACTTCAGTTTTGTTGAAGTTTTTTAACAGTAGTAAGGATACAGTGCAGTTAAAGATTGTAGATATGCTTCTTTAGATTTTTATTAAGAAATCTGACATACATTTAAGTTGAAGATAAACCTCCATTATATGTTCTCTCTCATTTAATGTGGGTGGCATCAAATTCAGATAATGTCAGGCCTTGGTTGGCTGATTGACCAACTCTGCTCCTACCTGAGTAACTGGCCAAGAGGAGATTGACCCTCGACCTAATCTGAATTGGCAAGCTACAAAAACAGGGCTATACTTCACACACCCTCAAAGGCTCATGTGTGTATATATACATACATGCATATATGTATATATATATATATTTATATTATTACTGTAATTATTGTTAATCTCCAGGAATATAACAAAGCTATTACTGATCATGTCATCATTGCTTCATATTAATGCTGTTTACTTAGTTAATTTATATTTATTGGGTAATACAGACAGAGTAAGGGATAGTTATTAAGGCTGATTGTCTTCAAAGTCAATGTTAATAACTTTTATAAACCATAAATTATTTATAGGAATTTTTCATTCAGTGAATGTGCAGTTATTTTGATACACTTTATTTTTTTAAGTTGGTTTGATGCCTATAATAAATTTACTTTTCATACATATGAGAATTTTTCACATTTGTTTTGGTTAGAAAATTTTAAACCTTTTCAGGATTAATTATAGATAAAATTGCAGGTTTTATGAAATTTCATGATGAAACTTTTGCTATTTTAGTGCTAAAACAGGATTAGCGTTTTGTAACTTACTTCAGTTGCTCAGAGGACTTGAAACCAGGAACAAAGGTGACTATATATTTTTTAATTAGCTGCACATTAATACAAATTGTGTAATACTTAATACCTTGGAGGCCCCCACCATAGAGAGAGAGAGATAAACTCTACCTCCTTCACTCCCATTTTCTTTCTTCCTTAATCTCTCTCTCCCCCTCTCCATAGTCCTTGTGTTATGATGTGTTTGTTATCCACACCTTTCCTGCAATGGCTTTTGTATTGCTCAGCAGTGACTCAAAAGACTACCTAATATTGACTTTTATCAATGCTCGAGTAGCCTTTGGCAAAACTTAATTATACTGTATAGGACTATTCCTGGGTCTGATGGTGAAGGTGGCATTGCTATTTGCATGAAATGATTTTTTTTTTATGAAACACACTAGCTTTGTTTTACTTGAGATCTGTAGCAATGCATTTTGCTATGTAGATTAACTGCTGTAGCACTTGAGAGTCCAGAATGGACAATTGAATTTGCTTTAGTGGTATTTTAAAAATCCTCTGGGATGAGCCTGCCAGTAGTTATGTAATAGTAGATGTATCTTGATTAAAACTAAACCTGACTCGCCTTTGTTGTCAGTAGATGTTGCATAGTATACAGTTTAATGATTTGCTAGTTTCTAATGAAGTTGCATTTGGTTGTCTCCAGCTGGACTAGTCAAACTACCAAAGCTTGAAATTATCTTTTATTTATGAGATGGGATTTGTGAATGATGCAATGACAAAACAGATGTACATATGTACACAATTAATGCATGATGTACATCTGCCATATGTGTTATGTTCATCTTCTATACATAAGGTTTAAGGAATCTAGTAATAAATTAATACAAAAAATTGTGTATTATGTATATCTAAAGTATTTTCTCATATTTGGGATTATAATGAGCTTTGATATAACAATTTTGTATATTACCGGGTATGTAAAAGATGAGAATGTGTGGAAAATGCCTTTTCATAATTATCACTTATATTTATCTACCGGTATCTACAGTACATTTTAGGCCTTTTCCTATCATTTAAGCAAGGTGGTTTTAGCTTCATCAATTGCTCCAGTGACAACCATTTTAAGTTCAATATGCTGATTTCATTTAGAATTATATTTGAGAAAAAATAAATGTGTGGGCACTGATTGTAAAGGTAAAATTTTCATTCACACAGAAAGGTTTCAAAATATATGGGTTATTAAAATTTATACTGTATCTCATAATTAGTTCTGCTATGAAATTATTGTTGGCATTGTAGAAATTGGTGTAACTGCTTTTTTTAAATTGTTTGACACTAGAGTCAGTTTTTGAGCATCAAGTGCCTATTCACACTACTGGGTGAGTAAAAATGCATTGCACCACTTCTTTTAATGCTTTCTGTAATTGCTTCGCTTGTGGGATGAGGCAGCCGCCTGTGCCTCAATGACTTTCTCAACAACCACCAGCTATATACTATGCATAATATTAGTAATATATACTTTTTCACAAGTAGTGGAACTCTGCTTGAAAAATGATTATGGAAGACTGTAAATAATGTTTTATTTTTCAAGCACAGCTGTACATGGATAAAGCAAGGAAATATATGAAGTATGACTGTTCACACTTGTTTTCTTATTTCCGGTTCTTGATGTGTGAAAGACTTGACCAATATAAAAGCTAGTTTGGAATATTTTTGATGCATTCTACAAAAAGTGCCAATGAGGAAGAAGTAGACTAGCTCAAATGAGGGGCAGTTTCCAGCATTCAAACTGCATAAGGATTATGTTGCTGTAAATGAGACCAATACCGTACTTATATTATCCATTACAGAGTGTTAGATCAAAGAGCCACTCGTACAGTATTGGCTATCAGGTTATTTTCATGGAATGATCCAACTGGTGGATTTAAGGGGGTATGGGGAAATGCTCACACTCCCCCTCCCCATGAGAATAATGAGAATTCTTTTTTTTAGACTCGGACTACTGCAATCTATTACCAGGGATATGTAGTTACAGTAACTTCAGTTCATCAGCCGACTGTAACATTTGGGCAAGGTTGGACGCCAGCTTTTGTATACATGTGTGAAACACTCCAAAATATTATAACACCAACTGGTCTATTGGTGAGGCTTTGATAAAATCGTGTTTGTATGGTTACTGTGACTTATAATTTAAAGTATTATTGCATGATTCTTAGGTAGGGAGCTTCACTTGTCACCCCCTTAACACTCCACTGGGGACTCTTCCCTCTGGACCTTTGTTGGAGGCTCTGCCCCCCACACACTCGTTAAAAAAAAACTTGGATCCGCCACTAACCCAACACCAGATTCCTCTTGAAGGAAGCAAACATAAACACCATAGCTATTTGGTTCAAGATTTCTTTTTTGTAGCATTATCACTCGGTCACTTAAGAGATGCCTTTGTAAGAATAAAATTTATTATAATAGCGAAGGTGTTTGTTAGAATGGCCGCGCTCATGCGTTAGAGCGCATGACCTAGAAAATAAGTGAATAATACATGGCAGCAGGATTTTAACAAGGTAGCAGGCAGCTACCAAACAGAGGTACTGTAGTGGATTCCTCCCCTACAAACGCCGTTTGTCACTGAGTAGCCGACCCTCTTCGAATTCCCCAGCCTGCGCCTCGTGGTCTGGGTTGGCAACCAGCACCGCCTAACATAGCGGAGGTCAAATATCAAGCCACGCCTATCCCCGCTATATAATACCTCACGTGGCCGTGACCTACCTCTTTCTTCCTACAGCCACCAGCAAGCAACACCTCCAACTCCGCTCCTGCCAGCAACTATGGAGCCCGACAAGCTGCGTGTCCTCCTCTGAGCACCCTCACCAACCAGCTCTCTCTACTCCAGCATGGACTCATGCTGCCACCCCCCAGCACCAAGTTGAATTGTACATCCAATACAATATGTATAGAGAGAGCACATTGTGAGTTTCCTTTCTCCATCCCATCCTGAGTGTGAACCCAAACATCCCATACCCCACAAGATCATCAGCTGTGGAAATAAAATGTTTTATAATAAAAGAGTTTGTTTCATTACATCTTAATTAATTGAATTATTATACATCCAAACGCATGGAAGTCGAATATAATGCTACTATCAATCACCACTCACCAGCTCTGCTCACCACGGAATCTCGGAGCGTTCTGCAGGGAGTGCCGTACAATATGTTGGGCAAACACAAGTGTATAGTCTTTGACCAAACACTATTTTCCTAACTGCAAGAATCTTCTAATGCAGCACTGTTGATGGAAGACAAACCTCTTCTCAAGGTGGATAGCCCACCTGCTGTCAACCTCCTATTTTCCCCACTTCTGAACTTTACCTTGTACTGTACCCTTCTTGCACCCTCAGAGCTAATGCTCTCTTCTCTCCGTATCACCAACCAACCAACCATTTTTACCTAGACTTCATTTTTAACTGCTACACCGGGGCAACTTCTGGGCCACTACAACGGTATTGACTCCCTAATATCAAGCTAAGCAATGTTAATGTATGATGTGTAAAAGCGAAATAATCTACTAATTTACGATGCATTGAATACTGTGTTAGACTGTCTAAGTACAGATATATTTTATTTGTATCTCCTTGCCCAATAATGAAATTTACTGCAACCTGCACGATGTCAGCAAGAGTAAGGAAGCCCAGTCAGGGCACAGACCAGGTCTTTCTAAATCTGCCTCTGGTTTAGATACATCTAAGAACCCGTGCATGTCTAGGTTAGCAAACAGAAAATTAGCTAAGAGGATAAAAAAAACGGAGTTTAACTTGAGTTATACACTATATACTGTATAGCGTTTTCTATGATACCATGAATACTACGAGCTTATATTCTATCATTGGTTTGCATTGAAAATATGTATGTAACAAACTTATAGATGCCATAAAAAAATTATACTATTTTTCATAATAAATTTTTCTCCATCAATAATATTTTAATCATTTTATAACCATAAAATAAATTTAGGTTCCTTATGTTTATTTGTTTACGTTTTATTTCCGTCGGGGCGGCGCTGGGAGGAGGACCATGGCAGATGACGTCCTTCACACACCTCACAACACAACTGAGTAAATGATCTTCAAGTGACATGAATATTTTACCAAAGAAGAGGTAAGTCAGGCACACTGCTTAACTGTGTATATTGTTTCATGGGGTCTTGTTGAGGTGAGGTAGTACATCAAATATTCTTAAAGGATAAGCTTTCATGGCTAAACCACAATTTTCTGCGAAATTTTGTTAAATATTTGGGTTATTATTCGTTTAAGCACATGACTCGGATCTAACTTATAATGATATAGTCTCATCCTAAGATAGTAGGTAAGATTGCAGTAAACAGCAACCACAGAATTACGGAAATTCACTGCACTCAATCGATAGAACTATTTTTCTGTGATAATTTTCTTATATTACATTATGTTAGGATTTCACATTTTTTTTATCAGATTCTTTGGTTGCTGTAATCTGTAATCTTACCAGATAATAAAGTTTGATTGGTTCAACTTATCTATGGCAGATCATATAATGTAAATAGTTAATAGGTAGTCAGGAGGTAGTGCGTTGATGTTCATGATGAAAAAGTTAAAAAAATTTATTACCAAATTTCTAATTTCTCCACCCATTTAAAATATTATTGAGGTAAGAAAGAAGTTACAATACAGTACATGAAGTAACACAATGGTGTTGGGTGGCTATAACTAATTTATGATATTCTGATGGATATTAAATACGTATATAATTTTTTTCCAATCATATGTTAGGTTTAGTAGAATTTAAAGATAAAATTGCAGATTACAGCAACCAAAGACTGATGAAAATATATGTTTCCTAACGTAACCTAATGTAATATAAGAAAATGATCATCGAAAAATTGTTCTATCGATTGAGTGTAGTGAATTTCCGTAATTTTGTGGTTGCTGTTTACTGCAATCTTACCTATTAAAATGGGTACCATCCTTTTAGTTGGGACTTTGTCTTATTAACAAGTCTCTGCTTAAAGTAGACCTATGGTAGTTATATTTCAACCCCCCCAAAATAAATAAAAAATCTACATTTGTTTATCAGCTTCAGGTTCCACCAACTCACAGCTAAATCTGTACTGATCAGTTTAGGCCTGTTGATATGTTAAGTAGGGTTAAGGATAGTGAAATTAGGAGTGATACACTGTAACAGGTAAGTTCAGTGTACAGCCTTCATAGTGGAGTGGTGGAGAAAATGAAAGGGGGAGGACCCTCTGGGTCTCGGTGATTCCCGCCACCCTCCCTCCCACCATTCGCTCACTTCACCCATTACAATGTTACTTATGGTAAACATTAGTGTATTTTATATTTATATGCATTTCAGTACAGAATATACAGGTATTTACAATCTGTTTGCATTTTCTTAGATGTAATGCATATTATGGGGATGAAGGGAGGCTGGAAATGCTATCTACATATTTCTTAAGTTTCTTATGGGAAACATTGATCCACTTAAAGTTGTTTCACATAACTTAACTACAACGTTAACCGAGGACTTACTGCTATTGATTTCTCGGTAACAAATTACCTCTGTTTGCAGGTGGCATGTGCGGACTAAGGATAACATCGCACGTGTGCGTCGGGATGAAGCCCAGGCCGCAGAAGAAGAGAAGCAGAGGGTCCAAAGGGCCAAGCTTGCTGTAAGGAATTTTTCCACTTTTTTTTTTTTTTTTTTTTTTGGTAATTTTTATTTAGATTATTAATATTAGGAACATATTTGTTATATTGTTATAAAAGTCTTGAGAAGGTATTTAAATATTTTATGTAGTAGTGAAGTTGCAAGGTGTGATGTCAGTCGTGTATTCTTTTATCCTCTTCACCACTGATCGGCTCGTTAGCCGCTTGGGCGATCGGTCACGTCTCTGTCCATCCACCCATCCAACACTGTTTTTTTTTTGTTTTTTTCAAGTCTACTGGACAATATACTGTACTGTATACAGTTTTTCCTAACAGTTTTTAGAAGTTAGACACAAACATTTTGGCAAGATAGTGGATGTCCTTATAATACTGCTCCTGGTAGGTGATACAGTACTGTACAATGCTTCTCAACTTTACTGCCTTTATGGCATAAATCATTTTGGGGCTAGTGTTGGATATGGGACACCCATTTTTTTAAATAAATTTCTCCAACAGTTTTTCATGAAGATTTTGAATTTTGAAATAAACATATTAGAGGGATAGTAATTGTTCATATCATACTTTTGTGTAACATTTGTTTTGTTGACTGCATCTTAAATCAGGAGGTTCCCTTTGTCCCTCTCATTGGTGAAGCCATGCCTTAATTAAATGCTGGAATAGGAATGACCAGATAAATACTTGTACAGGTACTATACTTACTCTTAGTACATACAGGGGTCCCCTACAGATAATCAGTGTTCAGTGTGAACTTGAATCACACTTTAGCAAAATCACACATTAGTGAAATTAACCTTTTTACTATGGGGATGCCAATTTTAATATTTTATATAGCCAATGTCACACAATTTTATTCAGCTTAGAGGTGACCCCATGCACAAAGAGTTAACCTCTAAGGAAAAATACACTGTTTGGTTAGGTTAGATTACTTTGAAGTACAGTATATAAAACTCCACACACACTGCAAGGTTTTAGATAGGAATATATGCTTTTAATGTGGGTATATTTACACCTTCACTATGAAATAATATAATTTACTCTATGAACAAGTAACTACACTTCGTGCATTTCTTGGAGATTGTGGTTGATGGTGGTTATTGAGGTGGTGGGTGGGTGTTGTGTGTGATAGGCACATATGTACATTTTTTTTTTCACTGGAAGACATGTTCTTAAAGATAGATAAATATTCACCATTATCATGAAATAACATTATTTTGCTCTACAAACTAGCAAATATAGCTTGTAAGTGCTGTAGTGTACTGTACTGTACTGTACTTAAGACATAGTGTCGGATTGTGGTTTGCAAATTGCAATGGTTTAGGGAGATGTGGCACATAGATAAGATGTGTAACAATCTATACAAGAGATGTGTGGTGATTGATGTTGCTTCCACCTTCTTGGAAGTTCACTGGGAGAACACATCCAAGGTGGCTGATGGGAGACTTAACCAAGTTTTCCACCACTCTCCCTTGAATATTTCTTGAACAAAGACTAGAAAACTCGCTTATTTATTCAAAATAATGGTAAGTGTTTTAGCAAACATTTATGAAGCACTAACTATTGTGTTGCTTCTATGTCTGTCTTTGATACCCCCAAAACGTTCTACACTACTGAGGGTATACGCAAACACTTGTTATCTTGAAAATAGGTTCTTATTCTCGTACGGGAGATAAATACTGAGGAACTAATAAAAGTGGCTTCCACACCATAAGGACTAGCGATCTCCACTCCCTGTATCACTCCGCACTGGCATGTACAGATGCCAGCGTTCACAAGCTGAATACATAATATGTAAATATGATAATAGATATACATAACATGGTGCATAATAAATGGAAACATTACATAGGATTGATACATGTTCTGTAATACTTTACTATACATAATTAATAGAGTAATATAAGAATACACAGCTTAAGGTACTACTTCTTGTCCATATTATATATTGCTGAATCAAGATTTATTTTGCAGGAGCAGGAAGCCCGAACTGCCTTCCTGAGAAACAAAGCTCGGTCAAACTATGATGGAGGGTATGAGGCGCCCCCAACAACACTGTCCAAGAAAGCTCCAGAAGCAGACATTTACACATCTGATGGAAACATCAACTTCTTCAAGGACCTGGAAGATGGAAAACAAACTGGGGCATCAAACAAGGAACATGAAGAGGAGAAAAAAGCTGAACAAGAAAAGTATGAGAAGAGCATAGGTTACCTGACCTACCTTGGTCAAGACTCTGTTGAATCAAAAGGAGGCAAGGCTTGGTATGAACTTGATACTGGTAAAATTACACAGAAAGATGATGCAGGCTCAGAATTCCAAGAGGTCGGATTGAAGAGTAAGAATAGAATGGACCCAATTAATGATATCATCAAATATGCTGGCCTAAAACCAGCAAAGAAGTTTGTACAAGCACCTAAAACCACGACAGAAATTATTAAGTGTGATATATATTCTGTACCAAAGGTGGAGAATAATTTCCTAAATGAGGTCAGATCAACAAAACCTTATAGAGACCGGGTTAAAAAACACAAGAAAAAACACAAACGGGGCCATAAGAAGAGCAAGAAATGTAAGAAAAAAAAGTTAAGTGATAGCAAAAGAGCAGAATACTACTCTGATGATGATGATGATGATGATGAAACTGAAAGGAAAGGAGAGAGAAAACTATATAAAGGATCTAAGCGAAAAAGAGAAAGTAGCAGTGATGAGTATGATGGTGATTCTAGGAAGAGAAAGAAAACCTATGATAGATGTAAGAAAAGATGTAAAGATAAATGGAATAGCAAAAACAGACACAGTAGGAAGAGTAGAAGTAGCAGCAGCAGTGGAAACAGTTGTGACAGCAGTAATAGTACAATAAACAGCTCCTCACAGTACAGCAGTGAGGACGAGGAAATTGCAAAAGAAAAACAGAGAAAACTTGAGATTTTACGAGCGGAGAGACTAAAACGAGAGGCAGAGGAGAGACGAAAAGCTGAGAGACTTCTTGCAGGAAAGAAGCCTGAGGCTCCTGATGCTTCTAGTGACCCTAAACCACCCTTTCAGCAGAAATATAATTCACAGTTTAACCCTCACTTAGCACGCCAGAACCAGGAGTCCAAGACTTTAGAAGCTGGAGTGAAGTATTGGCTACAGTAAAATTATTTTTGTCGATTACCTTAAGACTTCCAGTGTAAATTGGTTCCTACACACTGTATTGGATTTTGAAAAGGGTAGAAATCTCAAGTGCACAGCTTGTTTACTTTACATGTAGCTTTACATTTTAAATTTACTTAAATGTCAATACAGTACTTAAACAACAGATGGGTGCGAGGTTATCAAAGAAGGGAGTTAGACCCTATAATTGTTGGGAAGTCAAAGCATGTGCATAGAGAAATGAAAAAAAATTAAACTTGTTTAATCTAGGTATAGTGCAGTATTTTATAAATTAATTTATAGGCAATGATATGACAGTTTGATTAGTGTTTTGTTTGAGAAACAAAATTAATATGAAAATATTTGAATATTTTTTAATTGGACTTGCCATGATTGAACAAGGATTAGTAACACAATGTAAAAGAAAAATATACATTAAATTACAAAATATAAAGTATAAGTAATACCATTTAATAGTAAAAACTAGTTGCAAGTCAAGCAACAGTAGGGACAACTAACTCCTGTCAGGGCAGTCTGCTATGGTTTACTCATATGAATTAGTTGATACAGTGATCCCTCGGTTAAAGAACGCCTCGGTTAACGAAATTTCAGTTAACGAATTACCTTCCATAAGATTCTTCACTTCGGTTAACGAATTCCTTACAAATTTTTCCCAACATGTTTTCGCCTGCTTTTGCCTGCTCACCAGCTGTAGTATTAGTCCGCCAATACAGTAATCGGTTTTAGGGCTTAAATTTGTTACCATTTGAGTAAATATCAAGAAGGTTGTACTATTCAATAATTTTCCAAGTCTTATATTAAAGTTTTTAGTCATTTTAGCAATTATTTAACATAATTGAAGTACAGGGAACTAGTTTTTAGCGCGCCAAACAGCCACTTGACTCACCCAAAATGGCGTCAGTGTGTGTCCCTGCTCAGTGGAGGAAGCTTCTTTCTTGAGACTCTTTTGAACATAAATTATTTTTATGTTTTTACAGTACAATTATTGGTCATTCTGAAGTTTATTTTGCATATTGACAATATATAATGCAGTGCAGTGTTGATTTAAAGGAAATAATCATGAATTACACCAAGAGAGCTAAAATTTTATGGGTGAAATGGCAGCATGGGGAGACTTCTCTTCCACCCCAATGCCTTCTTTTCTCCCTTCTCCTCCACCCTCATTCTAATTCCCATCATCATCAACCAGGAGCCTTCTACATGCACACCTCAAAGTAAGTTTACTTTACTGCATTTATTTTTAGTTTGTATGTAATTTTCGGTGAGCTGGAACCAATTACCCAAAATCCCATTGAAACAATGGTTTCGATTAACGAACGACCTTCTGGAACGAATTGTGTTCGTTAACCGAGGGACCACTGTATATCAAATACCCCTGACCAGTAATTTGAGTACAAGCCATCTGTATTTGATTATCGACTTTTATTCATGTCTGAAACCTTTTGTATTATATTACAGTATTTCACCAGTGTTTTTGTACAGTGGGGTATGCTATAACGAATCTAATTGGTTCTAGAACCTTGTTCGTTATAGCATTCGTTCGTTATAGGATTAATACGTTCCAGGCCCCCAAATACAACCACTTAACACTGAAAAATATAATATAAAATTGTAAAAATTGCAGAAAAGTGCATAAATATGCATCTAAACCCCTGAAATAAAGATCATCATTAATACTTGCAATAAAAAAACAATAAATTAGTAAAAAAAAAAATTTTTTTTTTAAATAATGTTCGTTGTAGGAGTTTCGTTCGTTATAGCATTCTCAGTTTTATAGGTAAAACCGTTCGTTATAGGAATATTCGTAGTAGGATCCCTTCGTTATAGCATACCCCACTGTAAATATTTTCTCTTCTCTGTAAATTGTAATATTTACAACAGATAATTTATATTGAAATTTTCTTGGACAGTCGTACCGGTTTATATTTAGCAATACTGTACAGTATAATGCTTTTATAAATACATCCTGAGCTTTGCTTATTTCTGTATCCGTTGTACTTATTAACCACACATTGCTGGGCACCATGTAGCTACTGTACAAAAAACAATTTTAACACCAAAACTATTGTGTCTGGCGATTTGGCTCTTACATCTGAGAAATATTTATTGCTGCTTGTTTGTAAGGAGTGTTGTACAGGATATGTCCTCAAGGGATGTCTGGGGAAGCACCTCAACAAGTATAATCAAGGCCTGGTGATGAACAAGACAGAGAAGGATAGATTGGAAAAGTAGAAAAAAGAAAAACTAAAAATTGAAGAAAGAAACAATGAAAGAAAAATAGGAACACAATTTGAAAAATGTAAATACTGTACAGTACTTTACTGTATATAGGAGGAAAGTTTTATACATGACAGTTTTGACTTTGAGATTGCTTAGGTCAATTTTATGTCAAATCAGTGCTTGAACAAAAGCTATATTTTTACATTATTTTATTTAAATTATTTCCTGTCTAACCATGTCTAAAGATGTTTCCTTTTCTTTGATTTTCAGAAAGATGGAAACATGAAGAATCCTTCCACTCCATTTTGGTTACCAACCTTATATGTCGACACACAGTACAGTTGCTACATTCAAAATATTTATTGAAGGAATGCAATTTCATATGGGTATCAGGTAGAGTAAATCACCACTGTACTTAACCTCAAGAGATAAGAATGAAGATTGTTATTTTAGTTTTAGGTACTTCAAGTTTAAGTGTTTTTATGCATGAATCTCAAGTGTTCAGTTCTAAAATAGGCAAACCACTTTTAAGACCAGCAAGGTAGCACATGTTAACAAAACTTGCTTCAGAAAATATACTATAATAATGCAGTAATAATATTTATTCAGTAAAATTGTCATACAATCTATAATAATTGGTCTGACATGTACAGTAGTACCCGATTTACGCGGTCAATTGAACCCACAGGGTACTGCGGAAAGTGAAAACCGCATAAAGTGAACAACAGAACATATGGGATTAATTCCAATAGAGACTGGCCCGACCCCCAAACTCCACTTTTTCCAACACAATACCTATGTTGTAGTAAAAATAACATCTAAATTTTATGATGGTATGCTCACACAATTAATATTTAAGAGAAATACGGTCGCCAGGTTAATGTCCATTCAAATAATGGACTCAAATCCCCCCCACCCCCCTCTTTCCAGCTCACTAGCTCCTACCTCTCTGAGAAATGTTGGGTGAAAACACTAGATATTAACGTTTAGTAATAAATAATACCTCAGACTAAAGTTAGGATAATATAATTGACATTTCTGGATTCCTTGCAGGTCAGGGAATATTTTGAATGTAAACTTCATATATTCTACACAAAGGATAAGATATTTGCTTTGTGTAAACCAAATTATTACAGATCTAAAATTTGTATGTCTAATGCAAAATCCATGATGTTTATATTCAAAATGATCATCATATTGTAAGAATTCCAGCAATGTATATTATATTCTGGCCGGGTAATTTGTATGAATTTTATGAGCTAAATAAAAAAAATAAAAAATAAATTATACTTCACCGCGTATATGAGTAGATGCACCGCGGAAAGTGAAAGTCCAGTTCTGGCAAGGTTCCACGTAAATGAGAAATCGCGTTAGTGAAACCGAGAAATCGCGGAAAGTGAAACCGTGTAAAGCGGGGTAATACTGTATATAGACAATGCGGGTACAGTATTGTAATAATAATAATAAAAACGATTTATTGAAAGAGCATAGCAGCCAGAAGGCTGAAAATATACTGTTACATTATTGGGGAATGGGTCTCTTGATTGACAAATAATATACAAGTAACCTAAGTGATACAAATATGATATACAGTGACCCCTCGTTTAACGAACACCTCGGTTAACGTAATTTCGATTAACGAACTGCCTTCCATAAGGATCTTCAATTCAGTTAACGAAAAAAAATTCGGTTAACAAAGTTCTTACGAACCGACCTCAACATGTTTTCGCTTGCACTGACCGGGCAACCAGCTTTAGTATCAGTCCGCCAATACATTAATCGGTTCTAGGGCTTAAATTCCTTACTATTTTAGTAAATATCAAGAAGTTTATACTATTCAATAATTTTAAAAGTTTAATATTCAATTTTTTAGTCATTTTAACAATTATTGAACATAATTGAAGGTAAAGTGACTAGTTTAATGCGCGGCATCCAGCCTCTTAACACAGCAAACAGGAGTTAGTCTCTCTCTGTTTTCACTGGAGGTAACATCTTGCTTGAGACTCTCTTCAACTAAACGCTTTTTTCTGTGTTTCCAAGCAAATTATTGGTCATTTTGAAATATATTTTACATATTGACAATATATAATGCAGTGCAGTGTTGATTTAAAGAAAATAATCTTGAATTACACCAAGAGAGCTAAAATTTTATGGGTGAAATGGCGCCATGGGGTGACTTCTCTTCCACCCCAATGCCTTCTCTTCTTCCTTCTCCTCCACCCCCATTCTAAATCCCATCATCATCATCCAGGAGCCTTCTACATACACACCTCAAAGTAAGTGAACTTTTCTACCATTTTTGTTGAATTTAGGAAATTTTCGGTGAGCTGGAACCAATTACCCAAAAACCCATTGAAACAATGGTTTCGGTTAACGAACGACCTTCTGGAACGGATTGAGTTCGTTAACGGAGGGGTCACTGTATAATAACTAAGTTGGGAGAAGGCACACTACAGGGCATTTCAACTTAGTGACAGTGCAAAAAGGTAATTTTGATTGGGAGTTAACACACTGGATGATTACAAGTTATTGATAATTTTTACAATGGTTGGGTCTGGGCTGTTCACATAGCGATCAGTACATACTCGTATGGGCTGGATGCAGTTGTGGTGTCGAACAGCAATTCAATAGTAATAAAACTCAATATTTACCAATTACACTTTGTAAATTAGATGATCTCCCACCAATTATATTTCAGGACGCTATCATCCTGCCAAATTCTGAAATAAATATGTTAGGCCTCACCATTTCCTCCAATATGTCCTGGAAATCATACATCGTTAATATAGCTAAAGCTGCCTCCCGGCAGTTGGGAATGCTGTACAGATGCCGTAGCTACTTCACTCCTGAGCAGTTGCTCCAAGTATATAAGGGATTCATTCATCCTAACTTGGAGTATTGCTCTCATATCTGAGGTGGCTCTTCTTCTGTCCAACTATTAGATAGGGTGGAATCAAAGGCATTTCATCTTATTTACTCTCCTCCTTTAGTCGACAATCTCTCTTCCCTTTCTCTTCGCCGCAACGTTGCTTCACTGTCTCTCTTTTAAAGGTACTTTAACGGGCAATGTTCGGTGGATTTGGCATCCTGTGTACCGCCGGCAAGGCCGTGGGCTCGTAACATACGTCTTGCCCACAGTGCCCACCGTTTCTGTGGATGTCAGTCACACGAGAATAACCCATTGTAGTACCTCCTTCTTTCCTCACACAGCCAAACTGTGGAATGCTCTGCCTTCTGTGTTTCCATACTTATACAATCTGTCTCACTTTAAAAAGCTGGTTTTCCAGCACCTTTGTGGTTTAGCTTAACACAGTACAGTATAACCTTTTTCTTCTCTATTTTCAATTTCTTTCTGTTCTTTTTTTTTTTTTTGCCCCCCAGGCCCCGTTGTGGGTTGTTTGACCTGTGCACGGGTGGGCTAATTCCCGTTAAAAAAAAAATTGCGGATGAGGGATCTTGGGTGGAAATAAGAGCCGGTGTCGAGGATGGTGCAGAAGCTTCTCAACAAATTTGCAGATGAGGTCGTGGTGATAATCAGAGAGAACCGAGAGGGTCAGTGTGTTGAGCGCTTCTTGATATGTGGAGGAGGAGGGGGAGAGAATAATCTTGCATGCTCTCTTTTGCACTTTTTCTAGGTGTCTCTGTTGTGTGGCATTTAGGGAAGAAGACCAGGCAGGGGAGGCTTAGGTGAGCTTGGAAAGTATGAATGTTGAGTAAACACTGAGGAGCTCGGGTGCGGGAACTCCGAGGGACTTGAGTCGGCGGAGAAGATGGAGACGAAAACTGGAGGATTTGACAACTGTACAGTACTGACGTGTTGTTTCCAATTTGTTTTGTTATCTATAGTGACGCTGATGAGCTTAGTGGAGTCCACGACTTGGAGAGTATTGGGGCCCAAAGTAATGGAGGGAGGTGGGACAAGGTTGGAGTAGAGGTTGATGTGCATAACCATGGTCTTGGTTTGGTTGATGGTGAGGGTGGTGTTGACATCTCAGCTGTAAAGTGTATATTGTGCAGGTATACAATTTCCAATGTACAGTCAAAGAAAAACCCACATTAGTACACTTACCATGCCTTATGTTCTGGAACCTCAAAGCTTCGCTGTCACTTTACCTAAACTTTTTGTCATGGTTTTCTGAACATGACGCTAAAGGGGTATAACACAACTTTTTCCTTTGCCTTTACTTAGACAGTGCAGTTGTACAAACAATGGTAAACACTAAAACAATGTGACTAAGGATTAAGTAACAAAGCATCAGATGCTTATTTCCAATAGGGTCCAGTAGGGAAAATAGAGCCAGTTCAATACTGGAAAAAAATGAGGAGAACTTTGTACCTGTCTGTATCTTCACTGGCTTCTTAAATAATGTGGTGATTTACATTAACCCTCCATTCACCATAAAATAACAGGAGATTACAAACTACCTGTACAGTACTATCTATTTCCATAAAAGGAGCAGAGGGTAGAAGGGATTTGGTACATATTCTGTACTCATAAAACAACAGAATATCTAATTTGTAACTTTGTGTAAGCTCTGTGAGGATTTCTATAATCTAATTAGAAGGAATATAAAAAAAGTAAAATTTTGATTGTGATATATCAATTTTTTATTGCATTAAGTGAAGAACAGATGAATATTACATTGGATTTGCATATTCTCTGATAGTGGATACATTACTCTACATCCACTGTAGTGGTCTCGCACAGTAATACAGTAGCTCTTCCTCTTTTAAGACAGAACAGAGAAAAGTATCACATGTAAGTCAGAGTGATAACATGAAGTCTTCAGGGTCCCTGACAGGATACTGCAGCTTATTTTCTATGACCCACAAAACCTGTAGATAATTTCTGAGATGAAGCCCAAGAGGGATATGATGTACCCGACAGCCAACACAAAGAATGCACTCTGTACCTGTGGAATGCATAAAGTCACATTTTTGAAAATGAAAGAGAAGAACACACACTAAACCAGGTTGTAGTAAGTACTTTTGTAATTTTGTTTAATACAGTACTGTACAGTAAACCCTCTATAACTCGGCATTTGATAACTCTGAATTTCATATAACTCGTCATGAATATGGTCTCGGAATGTTTTAGTATAACTCGGGAAATGCCGAGATATATAAAATTATCTGAGAAAATCTCAGCATATCTGGCCACCTGCATCACCTCCCATACCTCTGTGTCACCTGCCATACCTATGTGGCACCTAACATACATCTGTGTCTCCTAATATGATGCTTCATTCTTTGCCTGCAGTGCTGAATAAGTGTTACCTTTTTACAGTTAGTACTAATTACATGTATTTGTAGGAGGGGAAAATGCCTCGATAAGTCGGAATTTCGGATAACTCGGCAGGGCCAGAGCCTCATATGTGCCGAGCTATCGAGGGTATACGGTACTGTACATGTGTACAGTACTTGGAAATTTAAACATTAATGAACTTTTAAGTATGGCAACTTACGGAGTACAGTACAGGATCTTGTATTGTACAGGTATGTTTAAAATCTTGTGCTTGATACAGATAATAGAAATCCCATTCAGAATTAACTGTTAGTTAACAAATTTTGCCATAAATTTTTTACCTACCTCAAGCATCTACCTCTGGAATAACAAAAAAATTTTTGGATTTAAACTACTGTAATTTTGGAGAAGCATTTACAAATGAAAGTATGATTTTCTTAGCTCTATTTAACTCATTAGAATGCAGGACGAGGGACAAAATAATATATAAGCACACAGTAAATGAAAATTAACGACCTACACCCAGGTTTTCTAATTTCATTGGATTGTAGTCACTTCAATTTGTGTTTCCCAGTAACTCAAAATAACTTGTCAAAGAGATACTGTATAATGTTGTTTCTGAGGTGAATTTTAGGACTGAAAATACATTAATACACACACATAACTACCTTTCCTTTCCTTACCCCTGTCTTACCCTGTCCTATTTCCTCTCTCCTTACTTTACCTCTCTATCCTTGTTCTCTCTCTCCATCCTAACTTATTCCCCTCCTATTTTTTTTTCAGACACTCCTGTATTTATTGCTGTTGTACCTGTATGTACCTGTATTGTTGCTTCTAAAAAATAATTTTAATATAACTGGAGTACCAACTGACCTGATTAAGACTAAGGGCATCCAGATTTCCTATGGCAAGTTCTCTCTCACAGGAGGTCGAGTAGTAGTTGTCTTTAATTTTCTCAATTATTCCAAAGGAACGCAGCCGCTGAAGTCTGAGAAATGATTTTGCCCGGTTGTCACTTTAGAATAGTAGATGCTTATGGTCATTACTAATACATGTACAGTATCAGACAAATCATGATGTTAAATATTTGTATGTAACCGACACTTATGCCTGGCTGACACAAACCTGACTGTCACTCTTGCCTAACTGACACTTGACTTGTAGACATTCACATTTAGTTGTCTCTCATTCCTGACAGACTGGTTAATGATCACTTAAAGTCATCATCCATATCAGACCAATATTAACCAAATAACCTACAAACCAAACAGACACTTACACATAATGAACATCAGTATCAGATCAAGACACCCTTACTAGGTTGATGCAAGTTAAACTGACATTATCATCAAACTGATGCTAACACCAAATTGACACTCACGCTAAATCTATCTGCTCCTTGAAGACAGAGTTTTGAGGATGAGCCATAAGGTCGAGGTCTGCTTTGAGGACTTGTCGAGAAATATAAAATCGACACTGTGATCCCTGCGACTCAAACTTGGCAGCTCGACCCACACCCGAAGAGTAGGTGTCTGTTGGAGGATCAAAGAAACAGTGATTGAAAAATGGGGTTTGTGAGGCAAGGTATGTTTGTATTTATATCTCTGTATTTGTATTAGTATATGGCATGTGGTTCCTTGGCATGAAACTAGAGGGAAGAGAGTACTGCAATGATCACAAAAAGTAGATAACTTACTGGGTAAATATTTTACATACTGTATTGTACTTCATAATTATGTAATATTTCGGTAAATACAGTACTGTATTCAATTTAAAGAAAACTAAAAACAAATAAGAGATACACAGAAATACAGAAAAATATAGATAAATTTACAAATTACACAACTCACAAGTTACAGCTATAATCCAAGACATGACACACACACACACACACACACACACACACACACACACACACACAGGCATAATTTCCATATTCCTTGTTGGAGTTGAGGGCAAGGAAAACTGAACAGAGTATCTGTACAGTATAAAGAAAGACAAGTGGATGAGTTTAAGTTGTGAACAAACACAATTCTTACCTATAAGGGCATATTTCCCTTGTTGGATCAATTGGAAGAAGTCCCAAGTGTTGAGGAATGAATCTTGATGGAATTTCAAGTTGGCTGCGATGGGGCTATAACTCTCAAAGTTCTGAAAATTCATGTGAAATACGTAAGACTAGAAGGGAATTTAGAAACAAAAAAGATATCAGGTGGATACAGGCCATAAACTGGCACTTGTACCATATGAGTTACAGGAAGAGTAGTGAGTACAGTAACACACATCACATACAGGTTGAGATAGTCAGTTAATTGGGATCTCGTGAAGATTTGACACCAGGGTAAGTTGGGATACTTAAACTTCAGGTGGGTTTAGTTGGGGTACCAAATCTTCAGGTGAGTACTGAGGGACACTATCACATGATTAGACACATCAGGGAGCAACGTTCGTGGGGTGACTAGTGAGGTCCACTGTGAGTTCTTGACCCGAAGTTATTGTACAAAAAAAAGTCATGCTTCCTTATTATACAGACAGATAGCAGTAGATCATGGGGTGCAATGCCTCTGAGATCCAGGCACATGGTATCATCGGCAAGATTTTGTGGTGGATTAACAACTGGCTCGAAGACAAGCAACAAAGAGTGGTAATAATGGAGTACATTCTAAATGGAAAAATGTTCTCAGTGGAGTACCACAAAGGTCTATCCTTGAACCCACCCTGTTTGTGATTGACATGAACGACATAGATGAGAGTATATGGAGCCACATTGTCGAAAGGATATACGAGTAGTTACCGTATACTACTAGCACTGGCCCATATCGGGTATCAGTCACATTTCCTCCCTCAAAGTCATTTTTAACCCAGGCCCAGTGGACTGCCAGCTCGGTACAATAACTACCTCACTGTCGCACCCATATACAGAACAGTTACAGTCATAGGCCATCATAAGAGATACAGTAAACAAATACACTTCAAACTTACTACAACAAAATGATAATATACAGTATTCTTGCGGACAATGGGTGTGACAGTATCCAGCCTCTCCATCAGATCAATGGCGGAGTCTATGGGTGCTGCTCTCCTTGGGACGGCGAGGAATGCGATGATGTAACTCTGATAGATCCCCACCAGTGACACCACCGCCAGGAAGAGACAGGAGGATGCCACCCGTGCTGACCAGGAGAGACACCAGGTCTTGCTGCCTGTGGTTATAGGGAGCGAGTTGGTATCGGAGAGATGTGATGAGATATGGTTTCTTTCTCTGGTTTATTCGTCATATCACTTTATTTATTTCCCCTATGAGGACGATGGTTTAGCCCTTAGCTTAGGGGATGGTGGTTTAAGACATAACTATAGTATAGGAAATACAATAAGTGAGGATTTACAAGTAAATCAAGGAACATAAAGTGCAGATTTAAATTAAACAACACCTGGAGATTTAAATTACAAGAAATACAAAACCAGTTAAGCTCTGTATCCAATTCATTATGGAATAAATACAGAATGGAAGTGACAACAATATCAAGATCGGGGTATAAAAATTGAGGCAAATATGTAGCAAGCGAATAACTAACTGATTAAATGAGCCTAATTTAGATGGTTAGATTATTAATATTTTAGGGACCTGTTAGTACTAGGGCCCACATGACCTGAAACAAGCGAGAAAACCAACTCTGAGTGACGAAGAGCTTCAGTGTGGCGGCCAACACGCCTTGGTAGGTGGACTGGCACTCCTGTTGTGTCACTCCTCTGCCACCATTACACCTGAAACATAAACAAATTTTATAATTAAAACTGCTCGTAATAACCATAAGTAATATTTCTATATCAAATTACAGAACCTTAAGTAATTATTTAATTCAGTATTGCGGTTGGTTTTACATTTTAATCCATTACTGTATTTGGTATTTTTTCAACAAATATCATGGGAGAAATATCTTTGTATTCATCAAATACAAAGTGAAGTGTGACCAGCACTGCACACCTAATTGTAGAGTTGAGTACATCTCAGTGAGAACTTTCCTGCAGATAAAAGGACGGACCTGTTAGCTCCTGGGTGTCTCAGGAAATAGTCCATTGCCCATAATAAGCTCCCTGTTAACACACCGGTCACCAGGATCGACAGCCATACCTACACAACGGATGGATAGTGTTAGTGATGAGTCTGATGACGAAAGCACAACTCTAATAAACAGAAAGGAATAATTAGTGTCAGAAATAGTTAAGTTCAACCAGAGATGGAAGAAATACGTATAACGCTGGTGCCCTTGTGAGAGAGAGGGCAAAGTCTTTCTTACGACAATAACATCCACAAAACACTGGGATGATGACATACTTTGCCTTGCAAAGAAGAAAGAGGGGTTAAGAAGAATAAAGAGGTCGAGGAAGTTTCCAACCAGTTAACGGACCCGGGGTGTAGATCCAAATCATCTTTATAATACTTAGCGCCCATCTAACACTGTCGAAGGACATACCCAACTTGAGAATATCTGAAGGAGGAGGAAGGGTCTCTGGAGAGGCTGGGGTGCTTGTGAGACGATGATGACACCATCCGTACTGAACCACTCGCTAAAATCCACCGCCTGCGCCCTGGCCCACGACGGTGAGAAATCCAGTGGGGATAGGTCAGCCTCCTAATGGTGAAAAAGGGAATTTCAGGGAGACTACCTTTGTGTATGAATAAAACGAAAGGAGAGCATGTCTTACAGATCGTGAAGAAGGAGAAGAAAGGAATAAGTCAACATGTTTAGGGATTTCTGGCCAGTTCACCTTTTGGCTATTTTAACAATAAGTCATTTAATCCAGACGATAATGAACTATGTTAATGTAAAACTACTGGGAGAGAGAGAAACACACCCCTCGAATCAAGAAGCCCAGCATGCCATTCCAGGAACCATTGGGGAGCTGACTGCCGAAGGTGTTGGTGGCGGTAATGACAGCAGAAAAGTTGAGGCTCCTTTCCAGGATGCGGATAACCTCGACCACGTAGCCATCCACATCCTGCAGGGAGCTCCTCACATTGCCATCTGGTCCCTTCACCTCAAACACTCGAGGTTTCTTAAATGAGGAAGTGGACATAGAAAATGGTTATGGTGAAAAGATTTTGTGTGTGTGTTTGTCTGTAAACTGTGTTGAAGTACATCTGTGTTTGTCATTATTTGCAAATACTGAGTATATGAACATAAATAAATAGTGTGTGTGTAATTTTCTCACTGTAACCTACATGCACGGTTGTCAGAATCAGATCTCTGCCATGGAAACTTGCTGAAGGTGTTGCTTGTAGTGGCCCGTCAAGGAGGAGCCCGGAAAACTTGTTCCATACCCCGACTTTCCGGAGGACGACGCTACCGTCACCTGGAGTCACTGCCATATGGAGACCCACTTGAGGTATAGAAGAGAAACTGACGATGTCTCTGTCATCAATCTGTCGTATCGTCCTGTTTATGCTGCCATGATACTCATTTGTTTTAGTTTCCCATGTGACTCTAAGGGGGCCTCGATGTACAATTGTTTTGGTATGTTCTCTCAAGCTGGCAGTGACCAAGGTTCCTCCTAATCCACTCTGATCCACCCCTCGTCCAATCTCCCAACTTCTCTCTGGGATTTTAACACCACAATTCAAGTACTCATCTTCTTTCAGTTTATCTTTGACGTTTTTCGTTATATGTTTTAGGGACAAATTAATTTCTTCGTTACTATAGTTTACCCTCATGTTTCCTTCTTTCTTGGTGAGTTGCTTATTATAGTTTGTATCTAGTCGTGTTTCGTCTGTCGTTGTTTTCAATGGCTTCATCTTGCCTGGAAGGATCGCTCGACCTTCACCCACAAGTGCAACACCCGAGTCCACACCATCCCTCACGAGCGTCAATTTTTGTTTTTCTTGATCATCGCCAGGTCTCTCATCCCCATCTTTCTTATCTTTCTCGACATCATACCCTTCCTTGTTCTCCTTGGATATGCTCCTTCTCCTCCTATGTGAGTGAGAGTCTCCAAGAGGCTGATAAACGTGAAGCAGGAGAACATTCAGCTTCTCTGGAATGTTGGCCTCCAGGATCCTGTTGAAGTCCGAGTCTTCACCTTCAGTAGACACAAACAACAACTGTGTTTTCTGGAATGGGGAAAATAAATGCATCAGATTTTCATACAGAAATAAAATTCAGACAATAACTTTCACCTCTCAAGTGTTCAAGCAACGAAAAGTTAATAAATATAAGCAAATATATAAGAATAGATACAGAGGATTATTGAATCTCTGCTCTAAAATGTTTGTTAAAATATACGTGAAGGGATAATCCAGTTATATCATCCAAAACATATTCCATCTGTACAGCCAATTGTATCTCACTTGTATGTTTAAGGTCTTGTTGGCCACCAGCTCCTGGATCTGCCACAAGAAGAGACATATGTAGAAAATTAAACAACAAATCAAATATTACATTCATGGAAAAGATATAAAGTTGATGTTTCTTTACAAAATGTGAGATGTGACCTGAGAATAAGCAGTCAGTGGGTTCCTCACCACCTTATCATGATGTTAACAGCTGTAGTCCACCCAAGGGTTGGTTCACCATGGACAAACACCCGATAGTGTACTGATTTATTGCCCAGGGTACAAGAATCATTTACAAGGAGGGAATCGAACCTGGGACCATTCATTTGCGAGGTAAACACTCTACCACTGAGTCATGGGTCCACAGCAGTTATAGAATCAGAAGATGTCAACAAGAAATGAGACTATCTGGTACAACATTCTCTTGTTTTGAAACTGGAAATCCTTTTACATCTCAGATTTCATGAAGATAAATGGCGAGTGACATACATAGAAGAAAAGTTAGGTGCCCAGCGACTACGACACGTCCTCAATACACAATGGACCGATTGTTTTTAGAGAAGACATTCCAAGAACCATCAGTGATTCATGGCTAAATTATTATTATCTAACCCATGGAATCTGATGGATGAACCAAAAGAAAATGTACTGACAACAGATTGGTATAATTCCAGCGGTGTGTGAAAGTGTTGCTGAAAGAAAAAGCATAAAATTTTCTGTGTGCACTTAAGGATACGATTATATTGTTTATTGACTTGTGTTAGAAACGAACATCTATGTATGTACAAAGCGAGTGGCATACGAGACGACCTGTAACCGACCGACGTCCTTGGAATGCTGTAGAAAAAGTTTACTGTTGCATAATTGACAGGATGCCGTTATGTGTACCACGACAGGCGCAACAGAGTCAAGTAATAAATTAATGCCCAACACACGAACACTAGCTAGTATTGTGAAGGTTGTATAGCTAAGTGTCTGGAGGAATTTCCATCACGCTCATGCAATGTACATGCTTACTTTGTGCTTTATTTTTTTGGGGGGCTCTCAGTCCACATTTCCTAGTCTCCACCAGTCTCATCAGTTATCACCCTTCACTCTTATCCCATCACACCACCCCCCTTCTCTCTCTCTCTCCCACTCCTTATTCTGCCTCACCAAAATCAGTGACTGAAGGAGCCAGAAGGTGTGGCCCACTAGGACATGCGTGGCCCCCTGTTTGTAGGAGGTATGGACCAGGGAGACTCGCCAAGCTAGTGAGGTCCATACACTCATAGGGGTCCGGCCCGCACTCCACACCTTACCCACGAACTGTTCATCTGTAAGTAATGTAAATATTGCATGATAAAAGCAACCCCTCCAATATCACAATATTCTATAGTTAGGTCGAATGTAAATGTATTAGATCAGTGGATATATTAACAAGATAAAGGTCTAAATTGGATATTATATCTTCCAAATCCAAGCGATTTTAGTATATATGTGGATGATAAATTGTCACAACTAATATAAATATTCATTTAATATGATCAAAACAGGTTTAATTTCTGCCAGGGATTCGGGGGTTTGCTAGTGAGCTTCAGACCTCATGATGACGATTGTGACGAATTAGCCATCAGTCAGCTTCTCAGAGATCAACCTTGTCAAATATCAGTTCTTGGAGAAACACATACAATAAAACAATAAAGCCTCGTTGATAAGATACGAAGAGATTAGAAATTGATATCTTTCATTAGTTACAATACATAAGCGTGAGATTATTTCATCTTTCAGGACTGCGGTTTAAAAAATCACTTAATTTTTTAGATCTGTCGGAAATGAGACACTCAACATTATAAAATGTGTAATATATAGAACATAACAATACAGTAACTCAACCTTTATGATCAGTTGCATTTCATTTCCAGTATAATTCGTCACATTGAAAACAAATAATGCAATATGAAATCTAAGGTAAATGTGCATGGATGTTAGCTTACATCAAAACCGAATTAAGAAAATGATTATTATTGGTGTCATAAAATCGCCAGATGTCGGCACGTGATTGGCCAGTAACAGGGTGATACCAAGGGAGTTACAGCATACTAGTTCCTCTGTGTATGTTCCTTGGACGTGACAATGGTGCTCGAGAAGTGGTTTTTTATTTGTCATTCTCGCCAAATTATAACAAGTCGTGAATAAGTGAACATGTTAGATACATTCACGACGTTGGTCCACTGGTAGGGGAAGACGGCGCACCACTGCTCAGGTAACGGGGGGGTTAAGTTATATGTTTATGTAGCCCAGTTCATTTTCCCCCAGCGATACTGACTTGGATTTTGTTTTGATCTTATTTCTTCATTTTTTTAAGGGGTTACATAAAATTCACATTATATCTGGATTTACTGTTTGTGTTTCTTGAGTGTAAGGCTTTATATTTATCGGTACTGAAGCTCATATACCACTAGTTGTAAACAGTACATTAGTTTTTTCCACGTCGCCCTGTAACAGTTGACGGTCGCGTGAAACACGTACTTACCGTCTGGTTATAATCACTAAATTTTTATATTCTGATTCGTTACTCTTGAAGTTGAGAACGATAATAATAATTTAGCATGTCTTAGCAATTTTTCACTGGAAGAACAGTAAGATATCACACAGGCAACAAATATAACACTGGTTTAGGCATGATAAAACAATAAAATTTAGCAGTTGGAGTAGTATTTATTAGGTAAGGCAAAGGATGATTATATAAGTTAGTTAAGGTATGATATCATGCTGCTGTAGGAGACAGAGGGTAGGTTGATTGTGTAAGAAAGCCAAAAATTAAATACAGGAGGGCAAAGATTCTCACCTGAGGGGGAGGTACTGACCAGGAGCATCGCTGAAACAGAGGTGAACCTGACCAGCCGTCCTGCGGAGGGCCTCAGGAAGGTTAACAAGGGCTAACTCCGTCGCCGTACTGAGGGCTGTAAGCCACGCTGCTGGCACTGCCGGAGAACCCGTGGCCTCAAGACCCGCAGATACAGAACCCTGGACCATGTCTTTAGGTTCTGGGGCCGCACCGGCACGATGACCATTTAAAAACGTACCTACCAATACCACAATACCTGAAGAAGTACATGAATTAATATTATTACTGCTTTCACTTCCTCAACTGTAAAGTCAGGTACCCTTTATGTCTGGGGTCGCCCGGACCCAAAACATGGGGTCGAGGCGAGAACAATAAAGAGTTCAACAAAAACGGCCAGTTATTGATCTTGAAATAATTGTTAAGCTCTTGTCAGCGAGACGTATTGTGTAAAGATTAATGAACAAAAATTGATCGTGAATTGATCTTTTTATCTTTGGGGAGATGACTTTGGTAGTGTTGCTGCTGGTTGGGGTACAGTACAGTACAGAATTACATCTAGCACAAAGAAAAAGACTGGTGATGAATCATTCACTTACAACTGTTATGCTCAGTACACTTAATAAATAGGTTTTATTTATTCATCACTTGATTCCTTCTCAACAACCTGCTTTAAATAATACATTAACATTCAGTAAACACTACCCGGTATCCTTACCATACAACAGGAGCCAGATGGGTGGACCAACGACTGACATATTCTGTAAAGATCGCAAATTAGTTTTCATTATTGTAACCCCAATAATATTCTTCATATAACTCAATACTGATACCCCAATACGTACCATTCTATACTAAGTAATTAATCTAATTTGAATAGAGTTTAAGACTATAGAGGTAGAGTGTCAAGACATACTGGACGTTAATACAAGGACAAGACTCTGAGACAACGCACACAATGCTAAAAACAAAAGGCATATTGGGGGAAAGAAGTTGATGGTAAATAACAAAAAAGTGAAACAAAATATTAACAAATTGTGCAGAGTTTGTGAACATGTGTTGAAGAAAAGATGTTCTTGTTGGTGGTACTTGCGGTGGTGGTGGAGGACGTACTTGTAGTGATGGTGGTGGAGGACGTACTTGTGGGTGGTGGTGAAGGACGTACTTGTAGTGGTGGTGGAGTACGTACTTGTAGTGGTGGTGGAGTACGTACTTGTAATGGTGGAGGACGTACTTATAGTGGTAGTGGAGGACGTACTTGTAATGGTGGTGGAGGACGTACTTGTAATGGTGGTGGAGTACGTATTTGTAATGGTGGTGGAGTACTTACTTGTAATGGTGGCGGAGGACGTACTTGTAGGGGTTGGTGGAGGACGTACTTGTAGTGGTAGTGGAGGACGTACTTGTAATGGTGGAAGTATTGTTCAGACGACCAATGAGTGAGTGAGCTTACGGGTTTCTTGTCCCTATACTAGATAGTCCAGCATCGATCCTTCATGCGCGTCGACGTAAGGGTGGGGTCATGGTCTGAGGGTGGGGTCATGGCTTAAGGGTGGGGTCATGGTTTAAGGGTGGGGCCTTGGTTTAAGGGTGGGGGCCATGGTCTGAGGGTGGGGCCATGGTCTAATGGTGGGGTCACACCAAACACAAACATTATTGTAACATGTATTGGCGACTGTGTTATTAGCAGAGTTGTGAAAATGACACGAAATTGTTTGCTGTGTCAGTGTTGGAGCATTGTTGAGTGAACTGACAATGTTGCCATCTTTTATCCAACAAGTTGACGACGAAGTTACTTATACTGCTGCGTTGTTGTGAAGAATCCACATTAAAAACATGATCCATGGTTCAAAGTGATAACAATAATGATGAGCCATTTGACACATATTCAGCCATTTTTTTTTTAACATTCGGGGCAGTAAGTCTGAAGAGTAATCCTGAACATCGGGTCCCTTAGGAGTCCGAGTTTTTTAGGCGTCCCTCAGGAGTCCACTGGGTCCTTCAGGCGTCCCTCAGGAGTACACTGGGTTCCTATAGGCGTCCCTCAGGAGTACACTGAGTTGTTTGTGTGTCCCTCAGGAGTCCACCGAGTCCTTTAGGCGTCACTTGTTTGTACTGACTGTCTTTTTATTATTTATCCCTAACAGATTTATAGCTGTAATATAATTATTTCCATTCAGTAGTTACAATTTTTACATTTCACAAAATATGACGAAAAGTGAGCAAGTAAAAACGAAGAAAAATGAACGAACGATGCCTAGTGGTTCTTGTATTTTCCTCCCCGACCTAAATAGCCGTATCTGTGACGCCAACGCTGGTGTGCCACATCTCCGAGATATTTCCCTTATTTCCAGCAGATTCCTGTTGGTAACCATATCATGTAGTCTCCGCCACCCTACTATAGACCTCTCCCGGTGCTTCAAAATCCGCAGAAGGTGGCGGTGGAGGAATAATCTATGTGACGCTCTAGCAGGGGTAAAAATACGGGTAGGGGCATGAGTCACCTGCAAGATGAAGCGTCGTACGATTTAAGGAACGAAGTCGCTTGTTGCTTTTGTTAATGTTGATGAATGTGAAAGTAGTAGTGGTATTTTTCTGTGTATGTCTACGAGGTATTGTGTACTATATGCCTCTACAAAAGTTGTTTATCTAGAAGTAATAATAACAAATATTAATATGATAGTAATAAAATTTTTAATACTAATAATAATAGTAGCTGTACAATACATAGATATTCGTTTAAGTCGCCATACAAGTTTACAATTAGTTCAGCATGTATACAGTATATAGATCATGCAGGTATTAAGGGTATTTAGTTATTAGGTGAAAGAAGCTGGGTGGCTAATCTTCAGATGATCCATAGATAGTTTATTTAAATAGACACCTAAAAAGAATTAATCCAACATTGTAGACTCATTAAAATCCCAGTCACTTACCACTTTGTCCAGACATGAACCATCATCTTGAACTTTTCTCCACAATATTAAAATTCTGGAGGTTAAAACGATCATCTGTTGCGAAAATGTCAAGAAAATGTTAATTAGTTGACCTTTAACCCCTTCAAACATTCACTTCAGTGCCATGTACCGTCTTGAAATCTGGCGGCTCATTTCTGACGTCATTTTGGCCTCACCTGTAAATGAGCCACACACGTATATACCTGTATACCTTCTTACTTCCCCAGGTGTGAGAATAATTACGTGATGACCTTTAAGAATGTGGTGGTTAAGGTGACTAGGGTCTGAGGTGATGTGTTATGGAGGAGAGAGAGAGAGGTAGTAACGCCGTGTGGTGTAGTTCTCGTTAATGTGTTGTAGTATTTTTAATTAGCCGACAGGTGATGAAGATTAGTGTTTTGAAGGTGAGGATTGGATTTTGTCTGTCTATATCTGTCCGCCTTAATAGTCTCTCTCTCTCTCTCTCTCTCTCTCTCTCTCTCTCTCTCTCTCTCTCTCTGCCTTAATTTTCAGTAACCTTATAGGTGTGTGTGTGTGTGTGTGTGTGTGTGTGTGTGTGTGAGAGAGCAATGCTGCTTAAAAGTCATTTATATTATTTTACTCATCTCATTAATTTTCCTCCTACATTTTCTTCTGCCGTATCACCTGAAGATTAAACCCCCAGCTCATTTTACCTAACAAACACCCTTTGTGGTGGTGGTTGGGGGGGGGGGGTAAATATGGATAGATAATCATAAACAAATAAATACAGATAAACAAGTAAATATAGATAAAGACGTAAACATATAAATATTTTCTTTGTGATGATCGTATAGGAATGTGTTTCATTTTCGCGGTTCATCGTGGAGTGTTTGTGAGCCATATATGGAGGTGTTGCTTGGCTGAGATTATTATTGTTGTTGTTATTATTATTATTGTTGTTATTATTTTTATTTTTAGTATTATTAAGACAACAGCCACAGCCAAAACAGACACATTTCTCCTATGCTCTGAAGATGTCCAGGAGTCCTTCACATGCAAGCCATCAAATCCCTTTAACCACAGTCTACAACTCTCTTAACTCAAACCAATTTCTAGATCCCGTTTATGGAATGAGGCTCGTCGATTTTCCATCTTACTGGTTTATTAAAGTAAGAAATTACGAGTGATAGGTCTGCATTGTTGAGGTAGATGTGGGGGGGAGGGGTGCAATTCAGAGGGCGAGGAACCTACTTTGTTATTTAGAGAATCCTTAAGGCTGCCAAGTACACTATGGGGGGTGACTCATGTGAGGTGGGGGAAGGGGGTTAATGGGAGTCATTGGATGCGGGTAAGGGAGGGGAAAGGGGAGGAGTGTGGGTGTGGTAATGTTGGTAATGGGTGTCGATTGTGGTGATGGTGAGGGGTGTAGTTCGTAGGGGTTGTGGTAATGATGGGAGTAGGTTGTAGTGGTTGTGGTTGTGATGATTGTGGTAGTGTGGGTAGGTTGTGATAGGTGTGGGTGAGGGTCTCGACGCCATTTTGAAGTTCTTGTGGCCTCATTCTCTCCGTCAGTGCTTAAGTGAGTCAATCAGATGCGGGGGATCATACCCTCATAGTAAGAACAAATGTAGGGTATGGTTCTTTGACGCCACCCCTACTACTACCACCCCGCCCCCCCACTACTACCCCCACTACCACTACCCCACCCACTGCTACCCCCACCTGCCCCCACCCTCACTACACCCCTCACTACTACCACTACTACCCCCACCACCCCCACCCTCCCCCCCACCCCACTCCCACCCTCACTACTACCCCCCTCCTACTCCCCCCCCCCCACCCCTCACCCTCACTACCCTCTCTACCCTCACCCCACTCCTGCCCCCACCCCTCTTCCCCACCCTCACCTCACTTACCCCCACCACCCTCCTACCCACTGCTCCTCCACCTCACTCCCCCCCCCACCCCACCAAGACCCCCCCCTTGACGTCACAGACTTGACCTAGATGACATGCAGGTGGAGATAACATTCACTTCCTCACCTACTTTACCTACAACACCTATAAAAACTAACACAATAAATAACTATACAAGAATATTCAACCCGGAAAATGAATAATAATGTAGAGAATATTAAAGATGAAAGTAAAGAACTAATACTCATGAGCTTCAATTTATATATTACTACAAGCCAATGAGTGTTCGAAGCTTCATGTTCCGTAATTTAAGGGATGTGAAAGAGTCAAACTAAAGTGTTTACGTTTGAAGCCAGAATAGCTACTAGACTGGGACTGTTAACTGTGATATAACCAAGTGTGTGTTCTCCAGTTACAGGAAGTATAATGCCACTACAGTACGAACTTATAGAGAGTTCGAACACCCTGGGTCCATTGACTCGAGACGGTCTCATTTTGAACCTCTCCTGAAGGTCGCCTAATTTAACACCTGCAAACTTTTGTGATTAAGCTTTTGAGGACGATGGGTTAAGCTCTCGTCCTCAAAGGGTTAAAATCGTCGTCTTCAAAGGGTTAAACCATCATCCTAAAAAAAATATAGGCATCTGCTGAACCTATTATCCTCATCGGGTTAAATCCATTGTTCTCAAAGGCTTAAACCATCATCGTCAAAGGCTTAAACCATCATCGTCAGAGGCTTAAACCATCATCGTCAAAGGCTTAAACCATCATCGTCAGAGGCTTAAACCATCATCGTCAAAGGCTTAAACCATTATCGTCGAAGGGTTAAACCATCATCGTCAGAGGCTTAAACCATTATCGTCAAAGGCTTAAACCATCATCGTCAAAGGGTTAAACCATTATCGTCGAAGGGTTAAACTATCATCGTCAAAGGGTTAAACCATCATCGCCAAAGGGTTAAACCACCATCGTCAAAGGGTTAAACCATCGTCAGATGCTTAAACCATCATCATCATCAAAGGGTTAAACCATCATCGTCGAAGGGTTAAACCATCATCGTCAAAGGCTTAAACCATCGTCAGAGGCTTAAACCACCGTCATCAAAGGGTTACACCATCATCGTCAAAGGGTTAAACCATCATCGTCAAAAGGTAAAACCATCATCGTCAAAAAGGGTTAAACCACCATCGTTAAAGGGTTAAACCACCATCGTCAAAGGGTTAAGGCACAAATGAAATCAACTGGGGCTCGTGAGTGACGTGGGAGTGTCGGTGGGGAGGTTCTGGCAGACTTTAGTGAAGAAGTGAGCTGTGTAGTGTG